GAGAGGAGACACCGCTGAGAGAAGCGAGAACACGTCCACCATTTTATCCTCGATGAATTCGGCGTTTCGGCGGAACTCGCGTCTCCACGTCGTCCGCGAGGGTACACGTGCCCAAAGCGGGATTTCACCCCCCCCCTTCCCCACCCCGCGACCTCCAGGAAGGACAAGCTCGAGACTCGGCACTCCGACGGAGGGCTTGCGGCTTCCTGGCTACGCAACTGGCTGTGATCCTCGTTGCTCTCATTATTCCTCATTCCTCGCCGCGCGTATTCCAGCGCGGAGCGCAGGGACGAGAGCCGGTCCAACTGTTTCGCCCTACCGCCCCCCCCCCCTCCCCCCCGTGCGCTCGGCTCGGTGCGTATCGAGCTCTCGGTGTGTTTTCGCTTTCTCGTAAAACTCCGTGCGGTTGCAAGGCGCGGTAATGAATAAATCGACTCCGTGACCCCCCGCGCGCGGGAAAAGCTCCAAGCGGCGGTCGTGCGCAAAAAGCGCACTAGGAAGCGGGCAGTCTCGAAACCGCGAGAAATCTCATTATCTCGGAACACGCGCGAGTGTGGCTCGGATGCTTTTTCTCCTCCTCCTCCTCCTCCTCCCCGCCCTGTCTCTTCCTTTTTTTCTTAATAGAGAGCGCGTCAATTTTCTGCACGACTCCATTCTCTTCGCATCGTAGAATCCCCTTTTCTCCTTTTTTCCCAACTTATCCCGCCGACCGTCCCGCGGTATGCGAGGTATCGACTTCGCGGAGAAGCGCGACCGCGAGGCGGCCGGACGACGGAGACCCGCAGGAAGCGGAGCCGTTTCCTTCGCGCGGGATAATTCGCGACTCGCGTCTGCGGCCGAGTAATTAAGACGCGCCGCGTCGCAGACAATAGCAGAGACAGCGATAATATGTACGAGGTTTGATGAAAAAATAACGAGAATTTTGAGATTGCGCGCGCCGTATCTCTGTTTATTCAGTTGATCCTTCTTTCGTGTGCTGGTAGCACTACCAGTGCTACCAGTAATACGTGTCAATTTTCAGGCAGCTGCGACGCTTAGGCCGATATTCATAGTCGAGTCTTATATTTAAGACTGTCTCAAGTTCATCTTCAGATGTTGCACAAATTATTTCATTGGCTACGGGGTATCTGAAAGTGAACTTGAGACGGTCTTAAATATAAGACCTGACTATGAGTACTGGCCTTGGTTTGCGTTTGGCGCGGGCGAATGAGCAAGACGTACTTCAGTGTGTTCAGGCGATTTTTTATGTGTGGCGAAATCAGTGGCGGATCAGAGAGTTTGTCTGAAATTTTGTGTTAAAAACGGAATTAAGTGCAGCGAAGCGTCCGAAATGTTAAAGAAGTCGCCTTTGGCGACGATACTGCGTATGTCACAACCGCGAGTTTATGAATGATACAAACGCTTTCAGGAAGGCCGAGAAGACATCGAAGATGACGCGAGGTCTGGGCGTCCCAGCACGTCCCAGCAGCGATGAAAACCAGTGGAAAAAGTTAAAGAGATTGTGCTTGCTAATAGAAGAATCACCATTAGAGAGGTTGCTGAAGAAATAGGAATTTCACGCGGCTCACGCGAAGCGATTTTTACTAATGTTTCGAACATTAAACGATTTATCCAACAGTTCTTGGCGAAACGCAATCACCGTTGTGATGCCGCAACCACCTTTTTCTCCAGACATGGCTCGCTCCCTCCCTGTGACTTTTTCCTATCTCCCAGACTCAAAAGGACGCCCTCAAAGCACAACGTTTTTCAACAATACGATACTCAAGACGATACCTAAAGAGACCTTCCACCAGTGTTTCTCAAACTACGGAAACTACGTTGGCACAAGTGTCAACAATATCACAGGGGTACTACTCTGAAGGAGATGGGATAAACATTGAAGATTAAGTAAATACTTTCCGAGAAAATAAAAAATTCTCCTTACTTCTTTCGATCAAACCTCGTATAAGGGAACAATACCCTGCGACAAGAGAGTGAGCCACTTGGATCGAATTTCACCTTCTCTTTCCTCGCGATCCTCCCACTCGCAGCGGCCGCTCGGTGTTCGCCGCGCGTATAACCGGATCGCGGTGTTTCAGCGACACGAGGGAGGACAGTGAGTGGAGCGATGTATCGTTCGCTCCACGCTGGATCGGGAACTGGGCTGGTTGGTTAAATAAATAAACAGGCCGAGCGACGCAACGAGAGCGGGCTCTCTTCGCGCGGCCGCGCCGCGCCGCGCCGCGCGACATCGACGAATATAAGACGTGTTTCACACGCTGATGTTTATTCGCCGGAGATCGCCGAGGCCGACTCGGCGATCGAGTCTCGGCGCCGATCGGCGCGTTGTTTGTCCGCGGATACGCGGCTGCGTAAAGAGGCATCGCTAAAGCATGGGCAAACGTTTAATCTCCGATCGTTCGCCCCGAGTCTTTCCCGTTAGCGAGCGTGAGCTACCTCATATTGCACGCATATTGTTCCCCTTTAATTCCCCGGACGGTAGCCAGTGAAGATCCGCCGCGGCGCGGAGGATAGAGGTGGGAATGCACGCGTAATCACAAGCACGGAAAATTGCATTCCTGCTCACCTTCCCTTTCTTTCCGCAGGAGGACTCCTCGCAGAATCCCATTCTCCGTCTCCGGCGTGTCCGCCTTCTCTCCGCGCGCGCGCGCGCGTCCTCCTCATGCATCGGTTCAATTATATCAATTACTGCGAGCCCGGATAATCAATTTCGCCGACTCGCCAATGAGGGGACTCGACGACTACACCTCCCCCGTCCTGGAGCGCGCGCGGCGGTAGCGACGAGATAGAGAGAGAGAGAGAGAGAGAGAGAGAGAGAGAGAGAGAGAGGGAGAGAGAGAGAGAGAGCGAGCGCGCGCGGAAGGAAGTCGATCGCGATCTATTCTATTACGACTCGAGAAATTACAGAACTCGACTCGCGGGAATCGCAATGGCGAAGTAATTGCAAACGGCAGCATTCTCCGCCGCGGCTCTGTCGCGAACTGTTCCGCCGCTCACGCTGTGCCGATCGCGCGGCTGCCGGAGCCTTCGAGTCGATACTACCTCGCGGATACTTCGCGGAATTACTTGAATTATTTTACACGTTACCTAATGTTCTTCGTTGTCCTACGTCCTTGATACATTTACATTTGTATGTATCTCATTAACATATGAATCTCTCGGAGAAAGCGTAGCGTGTTTAGATTCGACTTCTGCACGATCGCAATTTCCGCTTTTTTTTTTCTCCGCGTCGCGATCGCTCCAGATCACGTAACGGCGGACTGTGTAACGTCGTTTTTCTAAGACAAATATAGCCACGGTGATAGCAGGTGCTTTCGATGGAGTCATTGCGTGATTCATCGATGTTTGATCACACACACACACACACACACACAAACGTACACGAATCTTCGCGGAGTAATTATTTTCCGCGCGCGATCTTTCTCTTTCTTCCGTTTACGCAACCTGCCTGCGCAATCGCGCTAATTTCACATTTGCGAAACCGCGTGATTCATTCGACGCGTATCTGCCTGTTATTAAGGTTAATTAATTGTACGTCAACACGAAGGCGCGGGAAACAATCGGAGCAGCCTCGATTCTCAGGCCGATCAGACTTGCAAATCGGCCGCTTCAGCCAACACCGTAATGCACCTAATAACATAACTGAGACGTTCATTTCGCCACGTTCAGTCGCTTCGTTTTATTCATTGACTCTCACACGCGACTATCTGGATCGGGGCTCCTCTTTCTCTCCCGACAATTCGGGCACAGCTCGATCATTCCGTCTCGCTGCCGGCCTCTTGTTTGCTTCCGAGATGGAGGGGGGAGTGGTGGCTCTGTGGCGTAACCCGACGTGTAATTACTATTTATTCTCGCCCTGAGATATCGCGAGTGTCGCGCGGTTTCACTCGCTGACTACGGCCGCTTCTTAATTGCACGTTGTTGCATCAGAGATGATGCCATGCGAGAGCGCGTGCATTGTCTGCAGCTCGCGTGGATTTCACTTCCGAGAGAACCACGGCGGATAAGACGGGGCAGGTATTCCGCATACCTCGCGATATATCGCGTGCCGCTGAACGTCGGGCGTGGGCAACATTTTCTTTCTACCGTTGCTCGGACGCGAACCGAAAGGCGTTTAGCCGCTGAAACGAAGAACCTCGCTTTTCCCGCGGAAAATTCGCAGAATTCGCGGTAGCCGACAACGTCGACGACGGAAAGTTTCTCCCGCTTGCAAAACCGTACCGTCCGACGACCGCATGCACGCATCGCATCGCGCCGCGCCGCGCCGCGCCGCGCCGCGCCGGCTCGCTGTCGTTTCGCCGCGCCGCGGTTACTGTTATTTTTATAAACAGACGGACCGTGAAGAGCCAGTGGAAAAGGAACGTCCACCTGCGTCACAGTAACGAGCTTAAAGTCAGTCATAACGAGTGCGTCGCGCGACGCATGAGAGAGCATCTCAACCTTGACTGGCGCTCAGGCTGACGCGCTGATCCTCGTGATACTTTGTGGCCGTCGCGATCTAGGACATCCTACTTGAGACTGCGCCACACCAGGTGCTTCGAGACCTCACGACCCGCGCGCTCCGAATAGCCCCGATTGTCCACATTATATTATTATTATTATTATTATTATTATCATTATTATTAGCATGGTTACGACGGCGCTTTAACCGCAGCTGGCGATACAATGAGAATACCGGAGAACAAAAAGTGTGTCGCTTTCGTCGCGGCGACGGCGCGCAGAGTCCACGCGAATGTTCGTCCAACGCGGTGCCGTCAACGCCGAGAATAGACAGGCACCGTCTCCGCGCCCATCGACAAAATCACCTTCGAAAAATCACCTCGATGGAAAGGTGGGTGGGGGGGGGGGGGCGGGGAGCGCTGCGCTCTCTTCGGCGCTGTCCCGACTTTCCCCTGTGTGCGCGAACTCTCGTCATTATTTATAAATACACACGGAAGCCCGAGCGAGAGGCGCGGATAGGATTGACGATCGCGATTATTGCGCTTAGATATATCGCTCACCGTTGGCGCGTGCGAGACCGACGATGCATATCCAGCACAGGGCCAGTCTCCAGAAACGGTCGGCCATGTCCATTCCCCGGCTAATTACGAAACGGCCGTTCGCTGGTGCGACTCTCGCGCGGTCCCTCGAGGACAGACAAGGTTTCCCTCGAGGGAAAAGGAGGTATGAGAGGGGGACGGGTAGGTAGGTAGGTAGGTAGGTAGGTAGGTAGGTAGGTAAAAGGAGGTAGAGACGGGAGGAGAGGAAGAACGGACGGGCCGGACTTTTCGTATTATCCGCCAGGCACTCTCATTTAGTCGGGCGCGCTCGTCCTCTTCGCGGGAAAGCGACTGACTCTCTCTCTCTGTCTCTCTCTCTCTCTCTTCGGTCACTCGTCACTCTCTCTCTCTCTCTCTCTCTCGCCTCTTGTCCGCCGCGACGCTGAGGGAAAACCCGCGAGGCCTCGCGCGCGCAGGACTTCGCGTCGCCAATGTAATTCGGTAGGACCGAGTACGACCGAGAGAGCGAGCCTCGATGGAGAGAACGCGCGAGAACGATGTTCTCCGTGCGAGCACGCGAGAGACACTGACGGCCGCAGAGAGTGGCGGGAGAGTTTGAACCGCCAGCAGACCCAGTCCTCAGCATCGGCCAATGGCGTAGACGCGGACCAGAGAGCTCGGCGAGAGAGCTCGTGTGTAACATTAAACAAACGGCGAAATCGTGCGAATCGACGCGAATCGGCACTGCCAGCCGACTCGAGCAGCTCGATCGAGATTCAGATACGGAGGAAGATAAGGGATACCGCTTCCGATGATCATCTCAGCGATAGCGTCCTCGCGAGGACACTCTCTCTCTCTCTCTCTCTCTCGCGGACAATTCACATATTGGTCCGCTACTTGGTCGCTCAAGGAGGACAAATAGTCGAAACTGACAGCTCTCCTCATTTTATCGCGAATTGGAACGCGACATTTGGCAGTGACTTGCCAAGCCAGCCGAGCTGAATCGCGAGTCGCGAAAGTCAACATTTGCCACGTCGCGAAGGCACCGGCACGGCGCGGCGCGCCGGGCGCCTCCCGACGCCATTGTCATCGAGAAACAAAAGACACACGGATGAGAAAGTGGAGGCCGCTGTGCAAACCGAGATTGCAATGCTAGGGTCCCGCGCGCGTGTGTGTGCGTGCGTGCGTGCGTGCGTGTGTGTGTGTGTGTGCGCGCGTGCGCGTGCGTGTGTGTGTGTGTGCGTGCGTGTGCACGCGCGCGCGTGTGTACGTGCGCTTATCTGGTAACTGGAATAAGCTCGCGGGGCGGAATAATTGCGAGAAGGCGCGCAGCGCGAGTCTCGCGCTAATTGATTTATAGGCCGACGGATAGGCAGCGGGGCAGATTCGGAGAGTCTAGGTGTTCCTAGACGATTGCATCGTCCTAGCATCTTGCAAGTCGCCGGATCGACGCGACCCGCATCCCGCAAGTTTTCGGCCCGCGGACGCAGTCCCGGTGTGCACCGCGCGATGACTCAAGAGCCGATCCGGCAGAAGAACCTTTTCCCAGACTCGTTCTCCGTCCCTCTTCTTTTTCTTTCTTCCCTTGCCCCTCACCCCCACCTCCTCACCCACACCGCCTTCGCTCTTTCTCTCAGCTTATTTTTTTTTTCTTCCTTTCCTTTTATTTTCGAGGTCTGGGCACAAGGCGGTGTTTTATTAACGTGGGCGTGCGGAGGCAACGGCACCTCTCGCGCCATGGGCCTTACATGGATGTACCGTGAGTCACTGCCCAAAGCGGCGGTGTACGTATGTAAATGTATTCTGCTTACTTTATTCATGCGTCCGCGCGCGGAACGTGACGACCGGTCCCGTAAATATCAAAAGCGACGTTAAATGCGCAACGACGGCGACGGCGGCGGCGAGGTGGATCGAGATCGATCGACAAGCACGACCGGATAAGAGCAAAGGACGATGATCGAGTGACACGAGGTCACGGAGAGCAGCCACGTGAATTTTTCCAAGCACCGTGAGAGTGCAAACGGCCCGCAAGGACTCGCAAATGTATTTGTCTCTCCAGCGACTGGCCGCGCGCGACTAGAGTCAACAATGCCGACGCTCGGCGCTCGAATTGTCGACACGCGCGACGACAGACAAGTGTAAATTTGCCCGGGCCCACGAGGGCCCTGGCGAGGCCCGGGCAAGCGGATGTCTCTGCCTCGCGGGCACATCTTCGGCAGCGGTGCCGTCGTCGTGGCACTGTTTTCAGACACCCCCGTGCCCGCGCTCGTGAACGGTACTTCTTCTGCCAGCGCCATTATTGGGCTTCGGGTGAAAGTGTCCGGCGGGATATTTCGTAACCAGGCGTCGATATCACCGCGCATTGAAGTCTCCGTAACTCGTGGGCAGGCAACGGAGAGAGAGAGAGAGAGAGAGAGAGAGAGAGAGAGAGAGACGGAGAGACTGTAGCGAGTCTCGCGCGTCGCCGTCGAATCCGTAATTCCAGCTTTCGGTGATCGCCTCGCGATACTTATCGTGCGAAGCAAAACTAATACGGCGGATATGATTTTACGCTTGGCACGCAAATGTGCGGAGTTAATACGCGCGAAATCTGGAGGAACGATCGCTCATCGCTCGTTTCACCCGCTCACGTCAGCCACCAGGCGTCGTTCTCGCCGACGACCACGGGCGCTAATTAAACGTTAAAATGACGTTAATCCCGATCGAAGGGGCCAGAGGCCACGGAGCAGAACGGCCAGCCGTGTGTGTGCAGCCTCCATTGTTCTTTTCTCTCTCTCTCTCTCTCTCTCTGTCTCTCTCTCTCTCTCTCTCTCTCTCTCTCTCTCTCTCTCTCTCTCTCTCTCCCTCTCTCTCTCTCTCTCTCTCCCTCTCTCTCTCTCTCTCCCTCTCTCTCTCTCTCCCTCTCTCTTTTCTGGTACACCAACCGAAGCAATATTAATCAAGTGCGCCGTGCGTCGCATAATTTAAATTCCCGTTAATCCGCCGGACTCGGATCTTGCCACTCGCCGGCGTGTACGCGCGCGCGTGAGGGCATTGTCTCTTCCTCTGCCGGGTATCGTGGCCGCGCGGATAAGCGTGTGTGCGTGTGCGCCGGGATAACCGGTAATTGTCTATCGCGCGACGGCGTTAACGAAGTGCGGATAATTAACGAAACGAAACGGCGAAATGAAAAGCGCCGTCGTCGAATCGAGCGAGCGCAATCATCGCGTCGCCGATGACGCTAATAAATCCGCGACGGCATGCCCTTTTGCGGAAACAGCGGCTTCCATCGTTCCTCGCCCTCATTAGAGAGAAGACTCTCTCTCTCTCCTCCGCCCCCTTCCACCATCTGTCTCCCTGTTTTCTCTTCGCCAGAACGACGAGATGCACTTAATCGTGGATACTAATTACGCGGGCGTTCGCGGGATAATGAAATAATCTTACTACACACGAAGCCCGGGAGACCGTGGACTTCCTTGAGAACTTTTTTCAGCGCATGTCGCGAGCACTTTATTAGTCGTAGGCCGGCGAGGCCGCTGCACGGCGCGGTGGCGAATTAATCTCGTGGAATTAACCGCTCATTATCGGGGGCGATAACATCGCCTACTGATCGCCGACGATCCTCCCTACGCTCCCTCGATGATGGATCGTCGATAGAGATCTCGTTGCAGCGCGGCCATCAGGCGCGTTTTCGCAGCTACGTTTCTTCCAATGTTGAGTTCGTCGAGAGAAAAAAAGGTAAGAGTAATGAAGAGAGGAGCTTGTGTGTGTGGACGGGGTATGTATTTTACAAAAATAAATACACGACGTTCAACGTCTCTACGTTCAAACGGGCTGACCCGTCGTGACCTATGTACAACGCGCACGTCTCGGGGAATATATTAATTTACTTAACACAATTGTCGCTTTTCTCGCGCCTCAACGCGACCTGAAGCATGCGATACAATAGCGGAACGATCGGCGAAATTGATTAATCGGCTAGCGACACGCGAAGTGTCGCTGTTCTCCCTTCATCGTGCGTAACACATCCCACCTTCCGGACGTGGAATGACCCGCTGATGCGCTGCGAATGTTACTCTCGCGGCGAGCGCTAACGAAGTCTCATGTGAGAATGCAGAAGGAAGCGGCGGCCATCGCAAAGTACAGGCTCGCCGCGAGGCCGAGGGGCGAGCCGGAGCTGTGGTGATTCAGGATCTGACACTGCGAGTTCCGGAAGTGCTTGACGTTACCCTCGGAATCGCGCGCCAACACGCATAGCTCGTACTTTGTGCTCGACTCCTTGAGGTCGTGGATCTTGAAGGATCTCTCACTGTAGACGACGTCTTTCTCGACGGTGGACTTGCTGCTGCCGAACTCGCGGACCACCACGTAGAAGTCACCGATGTCCTCGCGCGTAGTCACGTACCACGTCGCCTTCCAGCTGTTGTCGTCGGTGTCGCTGAAGGGCAGAGAATCGTTATTTACGACTTTCGAAATCTTACTGAGAGGAAAAGTCCTTACACTGGGAAAGAAAATTTAGTATCTCTAACAAAACTGTTCAGTTGAGGCATTTTTCAATAGCAACCAAATATCTTGCTTTGTACAACAAAATATTTAGTTGTCCCAACTATAAATATACTTCTCTGCTTTGTTCTCTGGACCAAATGATTTTGTTCTTAGACTTTATATATAAAGATTAAGCATTTTAGTTATTTTGTCCGTAAAAATTACATAATAACGAAATATTATTTTACATAAACTAAAATAATGCCCAGTGGATACTATTTCGTCTTTCTCTGCACTAAAATTTAGATTTTCTATTATTATTATTATTGTTATTATTATTATTATTATATAAGAAAAAATTATAGTATTTTTAACAAAATTCATACAGTTAAAGCTCTTTGGTTGCTATAACAATAATATTACGTTATACGAACAAACCGTCAATCGATCAAGATATTTGCTTACAAGAACTGAACAGTTTTGTCGGGCATATTTTAAACAAATTATTTTGTTGTTCAGACAAAATTTTGGTTCACGCAACGATACATTTTTCCTAGTTCCTAGGTTTCCGTGCAAATAGCGAGATGAAATAGACCTGACTGAAAATCACGTACTATTCGATATCTCGATATTTCACGTCCGGTGTGATGTCCAGCTCGGGCTCCTCTTGGATATCTCTCTCCCCGCAGTTCATGAGATCCTCCGTGATCCTCGAGATGGGTTTGTCCGCGAGATAATTGGGACTGTCGCACATCACGTTCGACCACTCCGCCGGAAGCTGCGTTTGCGCGTTCAGCCACCTCTTCAGAGGCCGCGCGTGGCAATCGCAGTGCATCGGATTCCCTTCGAGAAAAGAATGTACTTGAGCATTGTGTGATGGAGTAGATCACTCAATTACATAAAAATTACATAATAACGAAATATTATTTTACACAAACTAAAATAATGCCCAGTGGATACTATTTCGTCTTTCTCTGCACTAAAATTTAGATTTTCTATTATTATTATTATTATTATTATTATATAAGAAAAAATTATAGTATTTTTAACAAAATTCATACAGTTAAAGCTCTTTGGTTGCTATAACAATAGTATTACGTTATACGAACAAACCGTCAATCAATCAAGATATTTGCTTACAAGAACTGAACAGTTTCGTCGGGCATATTTTAAACAAATTATTTTATACAATTCGATATAAATACAAACAGTATAATATAAACAGATATAATCCCGGGTAATGAGGTTTTCCTCGGTCAACGATCTAACTAAGCGCGTGTTCGTAGATCGCCCGTCGTTTGATTCCGACTGTTCAATTCCTCCGTATTACCGACGTATCTCAGCACCGTGCCGTTCTGAATGATCTTCATGTACTTCTCGTCGAACACGCTGATCTCGTTCTCCTCCAGATCGAGGACTTTGAGATTCGGTAACGGCAGGATCTTGTCGAGCGGCACGTAACTCAGGCGATTGTTGCTCAGGTGCAGGTCAGTCAAATTTGACGGCGGCAGAAAGACGTCTCGATCGGAGATGTCGCTTATGTCATTGTACGACAAATCCAGCGTCTGCAAAGCCGTTAAATTCCCGATTACATCTGGAAAAGGGAGGCAATGTTCTCTTTAAAGCTGCTGCCCAGCGATGAGAAGTGAGTTGTTGCGTTCTTTTATACCCGATTGAATATGGTGCTCGCTATTAAAAGCAACACCCTTTACTCCTCGTGTTACTCACATCTCCTGATCTCATTGATGTTATTGTGACTGAAATTCAAGTACTGAATCTTCTTGGCGCCGGCGATGAGATCGAAGGTGACCACCGGCATTGTGTTGTAAGACAGGTCAACCTCCTTCAACCTGTAAGGGATCCACGGATCGTTCGGCAGAGTCTTTCGCGTGATGAAGGAGATCTTGTTGTGGCTGAGGTTCAGCCTCTCCAGGGACAGACAGTCGTCGAGCAGACCGTGCGTCTTGTTGTCCAGTTTCTCCAGTTTGTTGTACGACAGGTCGAGAGTCCTCAACGACACCAAGCCCTGAAACGCTCCGTTCGGTATGTGGCTGATGTTGTTGTTTGTCAGGTTCAACGTCAGCAGCTGCAGCAGACCCTCGAACGCGCGGCTCGTCACGTTGTTGATTTTGTTGTTGGCCAAATTCAACTCGAACACTATCGGCAAGCGACCGAACGCGGCCTTCTCCAGTCTCGTCAAGTGGTTGTCCTGAAATATCGCGTGGTGATTGTCCAGTCTCTGGAAGATCATCCCACGTTCTCGTCTTACTTGCAGATAGAGATACTGCAGACTGCTGAGGCTGCTCAGCGCTTGCCAAGGTGGTCTCGTGATGTTGTTCGCTCGCAAGTCTAAGGTTCTCAGGGTCAGCAGGTTTTCGAAGCTACCCTCTTGCAGATTATCGGCCAGCCGGTTTCGCGACAAGTCCAGCGCGAGCAGCGCGTTCATCGTGGGCCACACGTCCGTGCTCGGGATTTCTTCCAGCAGGTTCTCCGAAAAATCCAATTGGCCCAACGAGATCGGCAACTGGAATATCTTGGTCAGCCGGTTGTCCCTCACGGTTAGACTCCTGCAATTGGATTTAGCGTTGATTATTGATTCATCGCGTTACACACCTCACGCATGGCGCACCTCTCAACGGACTGATTTCGCACGCACCTGCAACTGGCCAATCGAGTGAGACTACCGCGCGCGATGTCGTTCAACTGATTGTAGCTCATGTCCAGCTCGAGAAGCGTCGGTAGCGGCCCGAAGGTTGACGGTTTGATCTTCTCCAGAGAATTATGTGACAAATTGAGAAACCGTAGGCTGAAGAGCGTCTGGAACACGGCGTTGTGAATCTCGGACAGGTTGTTGTACGACAGGTCGATCGTGTGGAGCTCGTACAGTTTTGGAAAGGTCTGTCGCGGGACCGAATGTATCAGATTGTGCGACGCGTTCAGAACCTTCATGCCCGTCATATTGTGCAGCGGGATCTGTCGAAGAACAACGAGAGAGAGAGAGAGAGAGAGAGAGAGAGAAACTTGAAACGCCTATATATATATACGCGAATTATCACAGCGTCATTCGATTCGAGCATTGTCACCCGATATGTTCGCGCATGGAAAGCGCGCTCACCTGATTCAGAGATGTGAAAAGATTGTAACTCAGTTGCAACTCGGTGGCGTACGTCGCGCTGTCGAAGGAATACTTGGAGATATTTTCCAGCTTGTTGTAACTGAGATCCAACGACGTAATGTTCGCGCAATTCTCAAAGGCGCCCGGCTCGATTTTCGAGATCTCATTGTGAGAGAGATTCACCTTCGCCAGGTAGAGATCCTTGAACGCCAGTTTCTCCACGACCGTCACGAAATTCTCCGAGACGTCCAGGAGCTAATGACGAGATCAATCGATGGATCGTGTTACGATCCAAGAGAATAAGCGGGGAAAAGAGGAGTTACAGCGTTACAGGCAGATCTTTTTGAATGACGCACCTCGGCAAATTGCAACTGGTTGAACATCTGGAAGTCGACCTTCTTGATGAAATTTCGCGCGAGGTCGATGGTGCCGATTCTGGTAACGGAGCCGAAGGTTCCGCGTCCCACGTCGTTAATCTGGTTGTCGCTCAGATACAATCGTCTGAGGAAGCGCATGCCGCGGAAGGTGTTCGAGTCCAACTTCCTGATCTTGTTGTGGCTCAGGTTCAGTACCTTCAAGACGGAGTTTCGGGCGAAGGTTCCTCTAAAACGAAAAGTATCCTCAGATATCCATATATCCGCAATCGTCTCGATAGTAATCGGTATTTTCTTCCGTTTCTTTTATTCGAGTATATCGCCAACCTCTTCAGGTCGGCGATAGCGTTGTGCGACATGTTGCACCATCCCATCTTCGTGAGATCCGCCAGATGGGACGGGTCTAATTTGTCAATCGAATTGTGAGAGAGGTCCAAAAACTCGGTGTCTCTCAGGCCTTTGAACTGATTCCTCTTCAGGTCTTTTATTTTGTTGCCGTGCAAATCGAGCGTTTTGAGTTTCTTCAACGGCGTCAGTGCCTCAACAGGCAAAGAGGATAACGTGCCTGAAAGATATAACGGTCGGTCAGAGACTGCAGAGAATATCGATTGAAAATTTTGTAATATCTTTCGTAGCCTTATGAAAAAAACGGAAAATTCGATATACTTTTTACAATATCTTCTTCTCTTAATCCCGATGCTATCTTTGCACTGTGTAACTGTGCACTGAAACTAAGTGAAATCACGTCGCTCTCTCTCTCTCTCTCTCTCTCTCTCCTGACCGCCGGGATTACGGGCAGGCGGGATGAAACGGTATTTTTTGTCGGGGTATCTTTTTCTCGAACGCGATGTATCTCGAAACGGATGATTACCGTTGCTGATCTCCAATTTTTCCAGCTTGGCCGCCGCCGCGCTTTCACCGAAGCTATTGCCCGGCAAAGTAGATATCCGGTGGCCGGCGATGCTCAGCAGGCTGAGATTACCGAGGACCTGCAGTGCCTCGCGCGGGAATTTCTCCAGATTGCTGTTTATCACGTGCAGCTCCTGGAGGGTTCGGTTCACGCCGAGGAAGCTGTGCTCCTCGATCAGCCGGAGCGGCGTGTCGATCAACTTCAGCACCCGCACGTCCAGGGGATACAGGGCGGGTCCGTAAAATCGCACTGCGCATTTGCGAAAAGCGAGAAAGCACACACACACACACACACACAGTGAAGTAGAAAAAAAAGCGAAATTACTCGGCTCAGACTCGGACTATTTCGTCAGCTCCCACGAGAATGTAGCTCTCGCGCGCGCGTTTCTCTCCTTTGCATTTTTCATTCTTTTCCCATTAATTTTCCCTCCGTTTCTCCGACGACGACGAAAAAATCAAATCGCAAGACTCACCTATATTACACTTGTACAGAACCAGTTCCTCGATCGGCATGCCCTCGTTTCCCAGATTCACGAAGGCAAGGCTGAGACTGGCCAGATTCGTGTTCTCGCAGCGGACGTACAGACCCCTGTCGCTACCCCGTAGGCAAGTGCAGGGGTAGATGTAGATCGTGTCTTTGGGACACCTGAATCGCGGCCCCGGCGGCACGTAGCCACCCATGACGGACAGGGCTATGCCGAACAGCAACAGCGGCGATAACATTTCGACAGCTATTCTACGTCGGGAGGGGAAAGAGAAACTCGCTGAATTTCTGCCTTGACAAGCGCGAAAAATTGCACGCACCTTAATTATAATCTCACCAACGTAACGTGCGGTAATTGAAAGTGCTAACGAGCGAGACGCGCTGTAAATTCGACAAGGACCGTCAGAGGTTGGATTAGAAGATGCGTACGTACGACGGATATAATTTAGACTTTCCCTTGGCGGCGGAGCTGGTCGATCGACGAATTCGCTCGACGAATTCGTCGAGTCGAGTCGAGTCGAGCGCCAGCCTCGCGTTCGCATCGTGTTGTTGGACGGAGGGATTAATAACGATCTTTCCCTCGGCCGGCGGCTGAGATACAGGCCGGTAATTACATTTCGGATGAGCGCCTTGATTAGTCAGTCTGTGATGCAAGTGGCGCATCGGCGCGTCGTATCGTGCGAAATGTGAGAAAGTCTTCGTCCCGTGAACTCCCTCTACCCTAAACGCGTGCGCAATAGATCGATCCGCCGATTACCGAACGCGCATGCGCCTTGTGCGTGCCTGATCAATTCGGGATTTGATTCGAAACAATAGCGCGATGGCGATATCTCTCTCTCTCTCTCTCCTTCTTTTTCTCTCCTTCAGCAGCCGGGGTCGTCGTCGAACAGCCCTTCTCTCTCTCTCTCTCTCTTCTTCCTGCTCCGCCCAAGACCTCCCTGTATTTATCCACTTCCTCGGACCGCGTTCGAGCAAAGCGGGCGATTACGTCGTCGTTAAATTCGCGATCCGATCTCCGCCGCTTACTATCCCACGCGAATTTCCGAGATCCCGCGAGATCGGCCGAGGTGACTAACCGCCGCGATGATTATCGCGACAGCCCAAACGCGTCCTTGCTGGCGAGAGGAAGAGGCGCACCTTGCTCTTTTCGGGCCGGCCTTCCTCGCCGCGACCTACGCATCTACGCAGCGACGACGACGACGACGACGACGACGACGACGACGACGACGACCACGCGAGAAATCAAGATTTCGCGAACGACGCAGCCAGCCTCGTTCCGCCATCCCCGGCCGCATAATTAATTCGCTCGCTGCCGTGCCGGAGCAGGAACGGTATCTCTCACGCGATCCCCCCGGGAGGAAGAAAGCGCGCGATTTTACACGGCACTTATTTCGTTACGTCGCAAATTACCGACTACCGTAGGGACAGCTCGCGCGGGAGCCTCGAGTGAATTGTAAGTCGCGAGCGCGCGCCCGTCGAACGACTTTGGCCGGCGTTGCAACCGTTGCGGAATTGCGAAAAAGCGGCGCGTTTGTCCATACGGAAACGTAATCGCGCAATTCGTCGTCGACCGATCCCCGTTCTCCTCGTCGTGTTCGCCGCCGCCGCCGCGTGGACGATGGGCCAGCTGCGTAACCGTGCATGAAACTCCGATAGAAAATTAACGGTTGGCGCCGAGCGACGCTGCTCTCGGCGTTGCAAACCGACTGATTTTCTTTTTCTCTCTACCTTTCCTTTTCTCTCTCTGTTTCTTCTTTCCTTCTCGAAAAACACTCGTTCGTGCGCGCCTGGCAAACGCGTTGGCGTCTTCGCGCGTAACGACCGACCCGCTTACGCGGACACGCGGAGATCATCATCCGTCGTTTAAATACGGATGACACGGTGAGTGGGTGGATTCGAAGAGCACCCCCGTTTGGCCTTGAAACGGCATATTTTATCGCCGTCTCGTTAATCGATCGAATTTATTCTCCGCGCCTCGACTCGTGGCCTCGATCGCGATTGCTCTTTCTTTCTAATCGGCTCGATGCATATTTATGCCTTCCCCGAAGAGAAGATTTTCGCGCGCGATAACGTCGCGATAATTAACGATTGCGCAGCGGTGCGCGGAGGGCTGTCAACTTGCAATTTCGATGTAACGACAACGGGGCAACGGAGTCCGCTAATCGGGCGCCACCGCCGCCGTGGCGGAGCCTCCCGCAATTGACGGGCGACGTGCAATTAAAGCGATCGTGGGACCCACTGATCTGAGAAATAGAGAATGCCGTGGCTTATTACACGGCCCTAGCAGAACCTAGCGAGCGAGGTAGGTAAAAAGAAAGGCACGGTGATCCAGTTTTGTGCGCGAGGTTGACGCAACGCGCCTTCGCGATATAATAATTTGCCGATGAGCACAGAGGCGCTCTATCCGCGACATATCTCTCTCGTGCTGGCCGTGCTTCGCACGAGGACTCGCCGATTGTTATCAGCGTCGCCGCGGATGCTTTCATCTCGAGCGCGAATCATACATTTTACATGCGGAATTACGCGCGGCAGCTGGAAAAGTCTGTCTCCGCTCATCTCCGAACCTGAGAGCGATGAGCTGATAATGTCGGCGAGCAAAACGATACGCCGGGAAAATAATACGCGCGCGCCTTTCACTTATTTCACGTCGAAATGTCTCTCTCTCTCTCTCTCTCTCTCTCTCTCGCTCTCTCTCGCTCTCTCTCTCTCCCTCCCTGCCTCTCTCGCTCCCTCCGTAACACCAAGGAAATAACCACTGGACCGAATCACGCTGGTTTCTCGTGACTCTAAACTCGTATCGGAGCCGGGAACAAAAATGCGTGCGTATGTATGTACGCCGCTGACGTAACGCACCGGTGGTGGTACTCGGGATATTTATCACACATGTGGACGGGTGTCTCGCGTACCTGGATGGCGACTTGATCGAGCGACCTTTACTTGCCACTTGTCGGCGCGTAAATACTTGTACGAGCACTCGGCGAGCGACGATTAACGAAGGGGGTTATAGAGGCTTCAGAAGAAGACGCGAGAAGACGAGCGCGACTTCCGCCGCTCGCGAGCGGCAAGAACGAGTCGGGGGAAAAAGAACTCGCGCCACGGTCTACTTTCCGAGTATCTATCAATTAGAGCTATTGTTATGGCGTGGCGAGGGCAACGGGCTTGCTTACGTAAAAACGCAACGACTACCTAATACGAGAAGGGATATCGTATTATCCGGCATCGTATATTACCGGTTAAGTACTAAAATTAAATTCCATTACAGCGGCCACTCTCGTAGAACCACGGAGAGAGAGAGAGAGACAGAGAGAGAGAGAGAGAGTGAGAGAGAGAGAGAGTGAGAGAGAGAGAGAGAGAGGGAGAGGGAGAGGAAGAGAGAGAGAGAGAGAGGCAGTGAGATGCGCTTTTCCATGCACCTCTTCGACATGGCGGACTGAGGATATCTTCGTTTCACCGGTCGTCCTTGCGGAAACCAGGTCGTACGGACATCCTCTGCCCGCATTCTTCCTTCTGGTCTAATCGTCTTCTATTCGCGACGCGACACGTTTTCTTAGCGTGGGATCTGGCGCCTCGTTTCTCGGCCTCGGTGGGAACGGCGCGAGCGGATCTCGTACGTGGAGAGATTCACACTCGCAACGCGTTTTCATCAGCGTTTCTACAGCGTAACGTGTAAACCATTTCGCGGAATGTCGCGAGATCGGCAGCTGAAAAGTCGATCGAGATGATGTGAAAGAAATTCCAATCTCAGCAGCAGCAGAGGAGTAGACGCGAGTGCGAGTGATTCGGTCTCGCAGAAAGTTCGGAAAATTGCAAGGATTCGTGACGAATAGCGGAAAGGAAAACCGAGGAGCGCACTCGGAGCTGACTCGACGACGAGCCAGCTGCAGCATCGACGACAGTTGTGTCGAGCGACAGACGTAGAGACACAATGTTGTCTGTGCGCGCGTTAAGGCCAGGCGTTCAGGCCGACGACAAGCCGAGATGATGACGCATCTGACACGCACGTGGACACTCTCGCAGCCGAGAGTGGCTCGCCGAGAGAGCTCGCGTCGCACCGTTTTGAATTTGAGGATGTCACGCAAAACTAATGAGCCTCTCCGCGCACAATGACTCACTGCATGCAAAGAGCGCTTCACGTGCGAAAGCGTTCGCGTTCATACCTGTGTTGTTGCTCCGACGTCAGATGATGGATGTTAGACGCGTCCACAGAGGAGGAGCAGCATCTCCCACGAGCGTTTGTCGAGCGATTTTAACGTGTCACGTGCGAGAAAGCCTGCCGCTCTACTCTCACGGAGATGATATACTCGCGGTATCTCGTGTCTCGTACTTTGAGCGAAAATTCTCAAAGCGCCAAGTCAAACAAGCCGTCGTCGCGAGTCTTCGTCAAGGATGCGATGGTATCCTCGAGGTTACATGTTCGCCAGGACGAGCGGCTCGTCCTTTTCTTCTTTCTTTCTTTCTTTCTTTCTTTCTTTCTTTCTTTCTTTCTTTCTCTTTTTCTCCCTTCGCAACGTACAGCGAACAGGCGAAAAGAACGCAGGAGAAGAGCGGATTAACGAGCACACGAGTGTTTCGCCGCGCGTGTCTTCAGGACATTCTGCATGGTGGTTCCTGGGAGAAGCTGCCGTGAAAACTGAGCCGAGGCTCGGAGGCAAAGAGAAAGGCAGCCTCAGAAGTGAGTAAGTAAGGCCTCCCTCATTGGCAGTTGATACGCGCTGTCCTTTCGCGGACATCCTACCTTTTGCCACCGAGTCGCCATCGCGCGCGGCCAGCGCGCGCTTTGATAAAACGCGATCGCACCTTCAAAGTCACGGTGGATTGGTCACATTGGCGACCTTGTTAAAGCTCCCGGATAAACGTGCAAATAGACGGCGTGAAAAGCGTGTAGCAAAATTGTTTGCCTTGAAAGAAGTGAATGTTTATAGAAACAATTTCACGTACACTGAGCAAAGATTGTATTAAAATTAAACAAATATTTGCTCGAACTTGTACGACTGTGAATATATTTATTTAAATTAAACAATTATTTTCTAAAATTCAAGAAAAAAGTTTACATTCAGAGAACCTCTGTATTTCATTGTGAAAATTAGTCGCTTAATTTGAATAAATGTATATTCACAGTCGCAATATTTGTTCAATTTTAATACAATTTCTTCTCAGTCTGTCTAATTTTATATTTATACGTATATCTTTTTTTGTTTACAGTTTTTGTCCTTTTTCTCATAATAAAAGTTGAAAACCACGGACGTTTGACCTCCGAAAATTATGTAGGAAACTATCTATGATATCTCTTCGTTTCGCGTGGCTTTTCACGCTTTCGTTCCATTGCGCAACAGTGTATAAATAATTACAAAAATTAATTACATAATAATAGCATGTGCAACGCTCTCGTATCGACGCACAGCGATACGTTCCTGACAAAGGTCTCGAGCGTAGAAGAAAGTTTGCCACGAACGAACGGCAGCTCGGGATTGGTCGGTGTTAGTGAAAGTACATTCGGATACTTGCCTCGGTACTCGACCGATTACGAATCCGACGGCTCAAGGCACGAGGCTGACATCTGTTGGCGTACGGACAAATTTTCTGGGTAAATATTCTCGGATGAAAAGTTTAAATATGTAAAAGTGTTTCCGCAAATGTTGCGAAATGATTTTTACTTGCAACGGGACAATTTCATCGAGCATTTGCGTCGAAGATCTGTATTATTTTCTTTCATTGTTTCTTTTGCAAAGATTAGTACATAAATGTATATTTTTGTCTCTCTTAGCTTTTTCAGAAATACATTGTTATTATTTTGTCTTTGGAAAAGAGAGCTCTCCGGACGTTTCGGGAGCGTCTCTCTCGTCAGGAGCGGCAGGATGTGACGATTTAACCGTCGTTTAAGCGATGACAAGAAAGAACAACACACTTTTTCAGGCATTACACGGTTATTAAGTATCACGAAACTCCTCGAGTCGCTCAGTTTCGACAAAGAGCTCGTAGACCTCGCAATACATCGTTGCATTATCCGTTGAGCGAAGCAGCGACAATATTTGATAATATTAGACTCAATTTCAAGCAATCCGAATATCCGAACGTTTTTATTGTTTTAAAAAACTGCGCGGTCATACGACAGAAATATGAAGTGCTTGCTATTGACTTTTTCATTATTATTTCTGAGTGAGTACAGAAAATTCGTTACGCGATTCCGTTACGTTCGTACTCAATGTATTTTGTAATTTTAATTAATTCGCCTTATTAAACGCCTTTTTGTCACACGCAGGCACGATGGGGATGAGTCGAAATCATATGGTGGTGAGAATTTGTTTCTTCCTGAATTCAACGAGATATCTTTAGCAAGTTGTACTCACATGTACATATCTTGTGATCGAAAAGTAAAAGTAAAAATTACAGACGGTAATTCTGTGCGCAGGAGGACAAAGATGCTAAGAGACATCGTATGAACGATGCTAGGACGATAAATGCGAAGATCTTCAAGGGTGTAACCTTTAGTTTCTCCTGCGACGGCAGACCGAGCGGTTTTTACGCGGATATAGATTTCAGCTGCACGGTTTTTCACGTCTGCACTCCACAGGGTGAGAGAATTCCGATATTATGCCCCCACAAAACATTGTTCGATCAGAGAATAGGAATGTGCACGGATGATGATGACGTTCCTTGCGATCAATCGGAGAAATGGTAAAGAGAAAGGGATAGAAACAATATCTCGCTCTTATCATGGAGCAGCGAGAAAAAGAAACTCGTAAGATACCGCGCTGAATATAACGATTGTTGCAGGTACTACTTGGACAACTCGAATTACTACAGTTACTTCATGTTGCCTAAGAAATACGAAGAAGTAATACTCGACGAAATAGATGTGTACACAGTTAGACCGCTCGAGGATCATTAAATTCCAAAGATCTTTGTTTCACGGTATGTTATTTATAACAATACACACCAGTAATATCGTCGTGTATTTTAAGGACGTTGTCCATCAACAGAACACGTGATAGCCGATATCGAACGCGGCTGATCGCCGCGAGAAACGAACAATAACATTTAACATGTGATCACTCCGTGCGGGTCACGCAATGTAAATAATATATATGAACTTTTTTCCATCTCTCTCTCTCTCTCTCTCTCTCTCTCTCTCTCTCTCTCTCTCTCTCTTATGCTTTCTGTTGCTTTCTCAGTACCCTCGACGTCCCACCGGCAGAGATCGCGCATGTACCTTCCCCCTGGATCTTGGCGGCTATCTCCTTTGTGCTCTTGTTGCGGCCAGGTACACCTTTTTTAGCGCGCGCGCGCGCAACTGCCGTAGAACTGCAGGCGAAAAGAAAAGGAGGAGAGGAAAGAGGAGATGCACGAAGGAGACCTTCGACGCTGGTAGTCCGGAATAATCTCAGATCTATTCTCGACCGTTCGAACCTGACTGTTCAAGGTTCTTGAAAGTTGTAGCGCCGGTACTTTCGATATAGAATATTGCAGGCATTTGGAAGAGTGCAAGCGTCTCGTCTTGCAGTTCACCGATTTCGAGTGCAATCGAGACGCGAGGCTTCGCCATTTTTTTTTCATCCGGTCTGACGTATCTGCGTTTTTCTCGTCGCTCATCAAAGTGAGACAAAGGAACTCGCGTTTATCGCATTTATTCCTTATTCAGGACTGCAGGAATAAATGTTTTAGACTAGAGGAGAGGGTGAAAGAGAGACGGTAGAATCAATATTTAACTTTTGACGCCCTTGCTGCGCTCGAGAATTCGCTTAATCACGCCTCGCTTAATTGTTATCAGCTGATTCAGCATTTGCGCTTTTCGCGGGTTATGCGTTAATAATAGCAATGGCAGCGTACATAGCGTAGGAAGAAAGAAAGAGAGAGCGAGAGAGAGAGAGAGAGAGAGAGAGAGAGCGAGAGTGAAAAACAGATAAGTCGAGCGATATGACGTATCAATTGATGACGGGGATGGTATACGGTGGGATACAGTAGCGGATACATGCGTGAGAGTACACATCATTTATTTTCAATCAGACATTAATCAGACATCGTCAGAGAGCATGACTGCCTTAAGATCTATATGCTGATAATTCGATATTTATATTGCGATACGATCGTGCTCGACGCACGATCGTTTAATGCCGTGCTAATATTAATATGACCCTTAAGAAGATACGAAGTGTCAGCCGCCACCTTAAAAAGGGAAGAGAAATATGGAAAAAATCCCCATAACAATGAACGAAATAAATATCTGCTACGAATATGGCGTGTGTGTGTTTATTCTATCACGCGATCGAGATGCGAGGGAGCGTTTCCACAACCATCCACCGAGAACACCGTTTCTTCAGGCTCTAAAATTGTCTATCCTAAACTTAGGGAAAGGGAGAGGATAATGCACATCCTGCGCATAAAAGGGCCGCGTGGCTGACGAGCGTTAAACCGCGCGAGATTTCATCTCGTGCGAAACGCAACGAGAAACGCGTCCGGGAAACTAGTTTTGCTTTTTCCGATCGGTTCTCCGTATCCTTCAGCGGGCGCTGAATCCTCCCGAGAATCGCGCGTCGCGCGGTAAACACTTCGGAATGATCTCCGCGACATTTCGCGAGCGCGACGCGACGCGTAAAACACAAAAAGAGCAAAAAGCGCAAATAAGGAAAAGAGAACGAGAGAAAAGTTAAAGCTGACCCAATACAACTCGATATGTCGCTGCTATGCCTCGAGGAGAGTCGACACACCGCAAAGCCCGAGTGTGTTATTTTGACACGTATAAGCCGAAGCTTTCTTCACGCGTTTCTTGTCGTGTCTGAAATCACGTCATTTGATGCATTTCGATATTTCACTTAACGCGTTTCAACAACGACGTGATTTCAGACGACAAGATACGCGTAAAGGAAGCTTCAGCTTGTACGCGTCAAAATAACACACTCGGGTTTGCGAGTGCACGCGCGACGAAGACGTGTGTGTGTGTGTGTGTGTGCGCGTATATATATATATATATTTTTTTTCTTAATACTCTTAACGAGGCGTTTATATAGCATGTGCCTGAGATTTTAATACAGCGTGATAAATGGGCCTGATCGGGCGGGTCGGCGCTATTTCCTATGATAATAGGTGTCCTGATGCTGCGGCCAGGTGATACCGGGAGCGGTTTTGTCGTTGTCGTAGACGTACTTGACTTTCGGGTTGTCCGAGCCGAACAGACTCTGCCGGAGCATGCCGAACACGGCTGACGCGAGGGCCATGTTGCTGATCATCCCGGCCATGGACGCGGCCGCCCTCGCGTGAGCCAACGCGGTCTGGATGAGGAAGGATATGACGAAGCCAATCCCGGGCATCATGTTGCTCATCTTCAGCTTCATCGCTCTGCCGAGTTGGATCACCGTGCTCGTGATCTTCCGGGATATCACGTCCTCCCGCAGACTCGGCAGCTGCAGCCTCAATTCCGAGCACGTGTCCTTGTGGGCAGACGACGACCCGGCGGCGGTATCCTTGAACTTGTTGTCGTGCTCGGTATTGTCATACTTCTCCGCGGCGACGTCCCTCGCGTATTTGTCCGAGTACTTGCCCAAGAAAGACTTGAAGAATTCGCTCTTCGCGCGATGCTCGCGCTTGCGCTCCTCTTCACCACCCTCCGTGGGCTCCTTCTCGAGGTCGTGGGATGTCTTCTCTTCTTTCGAGGGTGTCGCCTTCGATCCCTCCGCGCTGGGTTCCTCCGTGCGGTCCTCTCCGGGAGTCTCCTCTCTGTTCATGCTCCTCAGGTGATGCTCGTCGGTGAAGGCTTTCAGTCGACTGGCAAACTTATCGTTCAGCCGAGTGCCGAAGAGCACGCCGAAGGCATTGTAAGCGTCCTCCATGCTCAGGTATTGAGTGACGTCGCCGTCGGCGTAATCGCTCGCGTTGGCCTTGATCTTGTCCAAGAACATGGTGATGATCTGATCGTCGTTCATGGAGCGCTTAATATCGGCGTACTCGTCGCTGTCTCGGAGGAGCTGGATGTCCGCCTCCTGCATGTCGTCGAGGCTCCGCTCTCGCTTCTCCTTGTCCTTCTTGAGCTTCTCGTTGTCCGGCCGCTGATCGAGCACCTCCTCCATGATGTCGCTGATGATCGTCAGGATACTCGGCAGATTCTTGTTGTCCTTGATCTTAGTGGCTCTGCCTTCGCGAAAGCCGCTGAAACTGATGCCCACCTCGCCGTTCCCGTAGCCGTTCACCCTCAGGAAGCCGATGTTCGTCTGAAACTTATCCTTCATCAGTCTCTCGTACCAATCCAGGAGGGTATTCTCAACCGATTCCTTCCTCGCCAACAGTTCTTCCTCAAAGTCGCCCACGGACATGCCGAAGAAGTTCTCCATCTGCTCGGACTCGGACTCGGTCGACCTGCCGAGGAGACCAAGACCGGGGATCGAGGGCAAGGACGGTAAGCCAAGCAAAGACGGCACGGTGCTGGTGACCACGGGCCACACGAAGATGCCCATGCACCTGATGAAGCTCAAGCTGCGTATGCATCGGACCAGCTGCGACAGGAAGTCGCGACTGACGGTGTGCTCGTTCAGCCCCTCGACGATCTTCAGGATCTCGTACTGGTCGGCGGTGAGAGAATTCCTGACCGTGGAGTTCAGCGTGTCCACGAAGTACTTCGTCTTGGTCCCCTCGAGCTTCTCCTCCTCCGAGGCCGCCTTGGCTCGCGAGATATTAACTAGAAGCTGAAGAAACTCGGATTCCGTGATGTTCGGGAAAGCGGGATTATTCATTGTCCCGGATACCCGTTCGGTCGCCTCTCCTCGGTCGGTCTCGTAGTAGAAGTCGGACAACCGCTCGGCGCTCCTGCGTCGTCTCCTCTCGCGTTTCTTCGACGATTCGTCCGAGAGAACGGACTCCGGCGACGGACCTCGTTGTTGCTCGATGTCGGACAAGCGGATCTTCTCCTCGGAGATATCTACGAGGATGTCGGACGGCTGTCCAAGGTACCCGGGGACGATTCTTGGCTCGCCTGAAAGAGGGGAAAGGGGAACAAGAAGAGACCGTGAATCGATGAGTCGTAGCGGAGCGAAGAGCGCGCAAGTCGCTTCGCGCTTAGCGGATCAGATTGATTCACCTACTGACGGAGTGTCCGCAGCCAGCGAAACTCCGCTTATCTGGCTCGTCTGTTCAGCGTCCGGCGGGAGCCTCGGCTGGTGGGGGATGATGGTCGCCTGCTCCCGCAACTTCGTCCCCGGTGGGCTGCTCGCCAGGCGTTTTCCAAACGGGAAACCCCCGCCGAAAGTCCCGCCCAGGCCGGGTATCTCGGCGAGTCCTGGAAACTGAGGAACGCCAGCTTGAATCGCGTCTGATATGCCGCTACCTGGAAACCCGCCCGGTATCATCGGAATCCCAGCTTGGATTCCAGCCGGTATCCCGGCGGCGATCTGAGAGGGCAGCTCGGCGAAAGGGTAGCTTCCCACCCCGCCGGGGAAGCCGGGGATCTGTCCAGAGATATCAGCGGGTATCTGTCCCGTGATATCGGGAAACTGACTGATGCCGGGAATTTGGCCGAACAGCTGGTCGAAGCTCGGCAGAGCCGGTGAGAACTGCCTCAAGGTCGGCCAGCTGATGTACTGGGTGCAGGTCACGAAGTTGTTGCTCCTCGCGCACTCCAGCATATTCGTGACGTAAGCGCGACGCAGGGGATCCGGTATCGCTTTCTCCGTCAGCTGCACGATGTTCATTTCCCGAGCGGTCAAGAGGTCGCCCACCGTGGGGTTCTTCATGTCCAGGTAGGACGTGTCCGGACGCGCCGGCGCGCTCTCCTTGCTCAGCAGCTCCTTCAGCACAGCCTCTATCTTGTCCTCCACGCTCTCCATGGCGCTCGCCTTCGGCGTGTCCTGAACATCGGGCCGTGGACTCTCCGCCGAGTAAGCGTTTCGCAGCAGGACGGACGACAGGTCGACCTTCGTCCGCGGCAAGCTCTGCGGCCTGCCGAAATTCGGGAAGTTCGGCAGCCGTGGGAAGAACTGGGCGATCGTCGGCCAGGCGATGTCCCGGGTGCACTCGAGGAACGTGCTCTCGCGGACGCAAGTGACCATCCTCTCGACGAAGACCGGCCTGACCGACTCCGGAAGCAGGCTCTCGGCGATCTGAACGATGTTACCCTGCTGTTCCGTGAAGTAAGACGCGATCTCCGGCGACTTCGAGCTGATCACGGGCTTCAGGTGGCTCGGAGTGGCGTGCTGCACGGCTCGCAGGATGTTGAGGATCACAGCCTCCGGATGCTCCGTGAAGATCGGGTAGAACCTCGTGTCGGTGATCGTGACCCTGGCGTCTCCGTGTTGGCCGACCTTGACGTCGGTCTCCGAGAAGGGCGACGTGTCCGTCAGGTTCTGCGGCAACGCGGGCTCGCTGTCGGTCGCCTGCGGCTGCGCTCCGAAATTCGGGAAGCTGGGCAGTCGAGGGAAGTACTCCAGCAAAGTCGGCCACAATACCTCTCTCGAGCACACCAGGAAGCTGCTCTTGCGAACGCACTCGGTCATCCGCTCGACAAAGGTAGGACGGGCAGCGTCGGGCAGCAGGTCCTCCGTGGCCCTGAGGATGTGTTCCTGCTGGTCGTTGAACAGCTCGGCGAACTGCTGCGCGCCAGCGACCTTGCCGGCGCTCTGATAGCCTTGCGCGTCGGGCGGGGACAACTGAAGCGAACGGAGGATGTTGAGTATCACCGATTCAGGATGCTCCGTGAATATCGGCACGAACCGCGTGCCGGTCACGCTGATCACCGGGCCGTTGCTCTGCGGGTACTTGGTCCTGGAGATGATCTTCACGTCGGGGCGATCAGCCGCGTGCTGCGAATCGTCCCACTGCTCCTGCCGCTCCTGCTCCTCCGCGTTGATCCGATGCGACGCGTCCTCGCGCCTCGGCGGCGCCTGCTCTTGACCCTCTTGACCCTCCGGTGGCTGTCGATTCAGCGCCGGACTAGGGAACTCTGGCAAATTTGGCACGTAGTGAGCCATCGTAGGCCAGACGACGTATCTGGTGCAGTTGATGAAATCGTTCGTCTGGAGGCAAGAGAAGACCTGAGTGACGAGCGGCGCCCGAGCCGAAGGCGGGAGAATACTCTCCGCTAACTTGAGTATGTTGATTTGCTTGTCGGTGATGGTCGTCAGGACGATGACGTTGCCGCTGATGATCAAGTTCTGCGAGTTCTCCGGTATCGCCTTCAAGGAATTACGCACTCTCGTGAGGATCTCGGTGATCCTGTTCTCCAGCTCGCTGGACGCTTTGGGAGGGACGCTCTCTTGCTGTTGTTGACGGAACAGCAAGCCGGGAAGTCGACCGGACTGGCCCTGCTCGACCGGAGGCTGTTGCTCGGAGGCATCGACAGATTGCGGCGGTTGCTCGGTGCTGGGCGGCCCAGCTGGGACGCCAACGAAGCCGGGTATGAAGGAGGTGATGTCGGAGAAGCTTGGGAATTGCGGTAGGTAGGAGCCGAAGACACTCGGGAACGACCAGTCTGGCAACCAACCGGTGATATCCGGCAGACCGGGATTGAACTGCTTGACCGTCGGCCAGGTGGAATACTTGATGCAGGTCATGTAATTGAACTCCTGAATGCACTTGACGGTCTTCTGAACAAAGTCCGGTCGATACGAGGTGGGGAGTAGCTGCTCGGCCATGTGGATCGACAACAATTGCTCCGGCGGCAGCAAGGCGACGTAAGAATCGGCGGCGTTATGAGCGACGGACGGCGGTGGCACCTTGGCGTGCTCCCTCAGAGTGTTTTGCAGGATGTTGACGATCACCGCCTCCGGCTTCGGCTTCCTCATTCTCGTGGCGTCGGCGTCCACGACCTCCGGCAGCTCACCCGTCGTCTCCACGAAGCTGGGGAACGGCACGATTGGGTACTGCGGGTAAAAGGCGATGGACGGGTACCACGCCTGATAATCCGGGAAGTCCTGCAGGTCCGGATAGTACCGCCTGACCATCGGCCAGGCGAAGTACTTGACGCAGCTGAAGTACTCGAACCTGCGCACGCACGAGAACATCCTGTCGGAGTACTCGCGACGTGCCTCGCCGGGCAACAGTTTCTCGGCCATCTGCAGGATCTGCAGTTGGCCGATGGTGAGCAGCCTCCTCAGGGTCTCGTTCCTCGAGTCGATGTAAGTCGGGCTTTGATCGTACGTGGTCTTCGAGTCGAGAGCGCTCCTCAGGATCGCGAACACGACGGACTCCGGCGTGAGCAGTCTCGCGCGGTGCACGCTGTCCTCCGCTCGCGTCGTCTTCGTCCGAACAGGTCGTTGGAACAGGTCGGGCAGGTCGATCTCGATCGGTAAGCTGCCGAAGGTCTGGCTGACCGACTCCGGTATGTTGTCGATCACGATCGGCCAAACGAAGATGCGCAGGCAATTCAGCACGCTGAGGCCGCGTATGCACTCCGTCATGTTCTCCACGAAGGACGGACGTTGCTTCGCCTCTATCAGCTGCTCGGCGCACTTGATTATCGCCAGTTGCACGTTGCTCAGGGCGCTCGCGTTCAAGGACGCCGAGTACGTCTCGTCGGACAGCGCTCCCGCGCGCGACTGCCAGATACCTCGCAAGCTCTCCAACAGCTGATTCTCCGTGAACTTCGGCACGTCGGGCAGAACCTCGACCGCCTGCTCCCTCAGATGTTGCAGGAACGTCCGGTTTCTGATCTGCTCCTGCAACATCGCCGCCTGATCCTTCCATCTTTGCAGACGGTCAGGACCGGTCCCCGTCGTCGAAGACGGCATCGGCTCGAGCTCCTCGGACGTGTCGTTCTTCGCGTCGCTGCTGCGTTGATTGCGGATCTCCTCGTTTTCCTCGCCGCCGACCACGTCGATCTCCACCGACTTCCCCGAGAGAAGAGCCTCCTCCTCGGCCGACTTCTCCGCGGCTCTCACGCCGTTGCCCGCCAGCTCCAGAGCGTCGTCGCGTATGGATATCAGTTTCTTTATCTGACCGTTCACGATCGACTCTTGGTCGCGACCTGGCGAACCGTCCTCTTCGGCGCTCAGGTACACGGTCGAGCTCTTGTACTTGGGCTTGCCTGGTGTTCCGACCAAGTGCCTATGCTCCCTGCTGTTCACATCCTGTCCCTTCAGCCCGGTTTCAGCCTCCGTCGTGGCGACTCGGTCGACGACGCGCTCTTCTTCAGGGTTCCCCTCCTCGCTGTCGCCCGAGTCGCTGAGCTCCAAGCTGCGGAGGTCATTGCGCACCTCCTCGCTCACTCCGTCGATCTTCTCGATCCGCGCCTCGTCCACGTTGACCGCCGCTGAACTCTTCGCCTGTCCCACTTGTTCCTCAGACGTGTCCCGATCTATCTTCTCCGCCGAACTCGCGATGTCCTCGAGCTTCTCGCCAAGACCGCCGGAGATCCTCCCGTACCTCTCCTCTTCCGGCCGCGCCCCGTCGTCGTCCTCGTCGTCGTCGTCGTCCTCGTCGTCGTCGTCGTCGTCGTCGGGACGGTTTGCATTCTTCACGTTCACGCGCGAGCGTTTCACATCGATCAATACTCTCTGACGCTCGATGGAGTCTTCCCGAAGATGCGAGGTGTCCTCAGCGATAGCGTCGTCCAAGATCCTCCGCTGACCCAGTTCCTCGCCGTCGTCGGCCTCGACGATCTGCGCATCGAATCGCCGAATACCCTCGTCCTGCGGCGCACCCTCGCCGCCGTCCTGCAACACAGACTTACCGCCGGCGAGGCTCACGTCGTTTCTTCGTCTCTTCTTCGCCACGCTACCTTCGTCGACGGCAACGTCGATTTGAATCTTCTCGGCTGCCACGTCGCGTCGCTCCTCCGTCGAGTATCCTCCGCCTTCGTCGACACCACCACCGTCGTCCTTGTTGCCCTCCTGCCCGGCGTAGGCGTCCTCCGTCAGGCTTCTTCGCTGCGCCTCTGCATCTTCCGCCGGCGCTGGCCGTTCCGCTCGTCCGTCGAGATCCGGCGTTGCCGAAATCTTGCCGTGCACTTGGTCCACCCGGCGGTCGTCGTCCCCGTCATGCGGCACACTTCGCGCTAGTGCGTTATGGAGGACACAGAGCAGAAGGAGGAAACAGAGAATCGGTCGCGTCGCGAGACTGCGGACGCTCGGTGGCCGTGGGCGTCGAGAGTTGAGTGCTCTCATGGTCGCGGTCGAGAGGCGAATGTCTCGGCCACTTCTGAGCCGGTCTATGGTCAGCCATGCTACACGCATGGTGATACACATACCATCGCCTAAAGCATCGCACGAGGACGGCTACAGGCCGGCTCACGGACGAAGAAGCGAACCTGTATATGAATAACAGCCTGGCATTTCCATTTTTGCGCGTCTCTCTACGCGCCACCGCCGCTGGCTTTGCTGCTGCTGCTGCTGCTGCTTCTTCTTCTTCTTCTTCTTCTTCTTCTTCTTCTTCTTCTTCTACTTCTTCTTCTACTTCTTCTTCTTCTTCGGGGTTGCGAGGGAACGAGCCTCGCAACCTGATCGCTTGACCGGTTGTGCGTCCTCTCCGTATGCGTGCGCGGAAATAGAAATCGAGCGTATCGAGGGATCGCCCGGGTTTATATATCTGAAGGAAGCAAGCAATTCTGGTAATCGCTGCGCGGGCGCAGGTGTAATCGCGCCGCGCGTTTATCGGACTCGCGCTTATCGCCGTCCCCTGGTCCTCCTGTTCCTCCTATTTCTCCGTCTCCTATACTCCTTCCTCTCCGTCTCGAGGAAAGTTTATTTACCTCGAGCGGGTGTCGTTCGACAGGCATGATTTACGGACAGGTACGTGAACGCGCTCAGCGCGAACGAGCGATGGACCCGGGAGGGAGAGAGAGAAGCAGGAACGCCGTATACATAGCTAACTGCCCGGCATGCGCATTTTTGCGGAGAGGACGATCGCCTTGCACGTACTCGCTCACGCGCGCGCGCGCGCGCCATCGAGCGTACCGGGAAACGCGGAGTTCACCGTCTGGATCAGAAGAGACGATCTCGGGTATATTTCTTCCGAAGAGCCGCCGACCATCTCGTTGCTCATGCCTCGTGACGTCACGAGCGAAGAGATCACCATTCGCGATTGGCAAGTCGACGCGCGCCGTTGACAGAGAAAATCCGGGGGAGCTGAGTACATCGTAGAAACTGGACGCGCGCACGTTATGATGTTATTATTATTATTATTATTATTATCAGCAACAAAGTGTCTACAAGTATCTCCTTTCCGAGAACGAAACTCTCGCTCTTCATCGACCTTATTCTTGCTCTTATCTTTCCCCGAGGCAACGAGACTCGCGTTCTCCTTCGAGCGATTCGAGCTGTGGAAAAAGGGACAAGGCGCCGATGAGACGCGCTTCTGCGAAGCGGGAGAGGCGCGAACAGGCGAAACGAACGAGGCATCTCTCTCGAGCCGAGAGGACGCCGCTTGAATCGAACAGCAGACCGGGCCGCGTTAGAGTCGCGTTTAATATAGCCTCGCTGGCGCTCGGCCGGCGTAAAGGGTTGGATTTTTAGTCCTTGAAGGAATCGAGACTCGAAGGAATGAAACACCACGAAGAAGGGGCGCCCCGCGCCGACGGAGGCGACCGCGGCCGCGGCGCGGCGCGGCGCGGCGCGGCGAGGCGGCGGAGGGCGGAGAGCCGCGGATTTTTACCGCGGACTTTATTTTCCAAGATGGTAGGCGCGATGTTCCCTCCTTACCTTCTTCTTTCCCTCTGCGCTCCTTCCGTACTAGATTCACCGCGCGAAGACGACGACGACGACGACGACGACGATGACGACGACGGCGCGATAAACCTGTATCGCCTTTCTTGCCTTACCGTCCGCGTTCGCTTATGGTGCGTTCACAACGTTCGCAACGACTCGACGTCTCTCGATCGACTTCTATTCTCGTCGCCCATTTCGCCATTGCATCCTCCTGCTTTTCTCGTACTTTCTTCGGCGGTCCTCACGTCTGCGCGGTTCTTCCGCTGCGCCGACGCGCGCGTGTGCGCGCGCGCGCGCGCACACACACACACACACACATACACACCCACCGAGAGACGAGAGCGTTGCAATTTCGTTTCTACATCATTTTCTTGCTGTGTTTCTTCCACGAGACGGTTACATCGAGATTAGGCAAATAGCGGCGAGTAAAAAAACAATTTCGGTCGACGTCGTCCTAACAAGCGTATCGAGGCAAGCCACAACTGATCATCGACCATGACTATTCTCTGAGCTACTTACAGTTGGACCGTTAATGAATTTTACCGCGCATAATATACCCCGTGGAGATTCGCTAGGAGGTCGATAAGCAGTTACCGTAGCTGTGGCCATATGCTTCGTCTATTCGTTAATGATGATTGAATATTGTTTTCACGGCTGTTTGCGGCCACGGAACGCGCGCGAGTGAGCTCTTTAGCTCGTTATGTGAGTGTAAAAATGCCGCCGCGGCCGCGCCTGCGACGATGGGAGCACCTCGGGAAGAATCGCAAAGTGCAAATCTCGTGAAAAATCGCGAGGCTGTCTCTTCGGGAAATCGACGCGCTACGCGTCCCTGTTGAGCGCACTCTTGGCGCTCAGCCACTCCTTCTCCCAAGGTGATGGTCGTGCGTGAACGGTCGTTGCACGGTGACCGTGACAGTGACGTAAAAAGCGAAACGCGGCGCGTATCCGTCATCCGTCATGGCGTTCCTATTTTATATTCCAGTATTCTATTTCCAAACTTATTTTCCACTTCGACATTATTCACACAAAGTGTCGCACGAAGATAGAAAATCCGTCCGAAACCTCTCTCGCTGGAATCGTCAGTCGTATGAGAAAAAGAAAAAAGAAAACGTAAACGATTGATGGAAAAAGTGGAGCACTGTTCCTGTTGTTAAAATTTGTCATCAATGTCGTCGAGCGAATGTGATTTTGCAGCGATACTCGTGAAGATAAGAGAAATACGAAATTAACGTTAATAAGAGAGAAGCAGAGATGTGCGAATCAAGAATTTTTATGTCGAATCGAATCGAGTCTCATTTTTTAAATTCGAATTCGAATCGGATCGAATGAAATCGAATCGAATTGTTAAAAAATTTAACATGACTATATTAAACATGCAAATAATGATGGAAGATTTTAATATGAAAGGGAATATTGACATAGCAGTAACATCTTAAAGTAAAATATATATTTAAATGTTTAAAGTAATTTATAATTAACTTATTAATTATAAGTCACGTTAATTACAAGTCAAGGGCTCAAACGTACAGGACCAGATGGCCCGTTTTGTAGCTGATGCACGCGATGCAAACGATAACGCATGATTTGATTCCTATTCGAATTATTCGGATTCGAATCATAGGGATTCGGATCCGAATAGTTCGCACATCTCCAGAGAGAAGCTGTGGTGACGTTCGTCAGGCGCTCGCCGACGCTCTCCGGGTTCCTCCAAAGCGTCCGTAAAATCGGCACCGAAAGAGCTGCGCAAGAGGTCGGCGCGCAGCGCAAGAGGCCGATTCCCTTTCGAGCTCGAACCGCTCGGTGTTCGTTGTAACGAATCATACGGTTGCTCGTGCGGGCTTGAACAGCACGTATGTTTCGTGCAGTCCGGTTCGACGGTTCAAGCAGAGGCAGAGGCAGAGGGTAAAAGGCCGGCCGCGAGGAAAAGGACCGTCAGTGTCGATGAGGAGGACGTTCGGGTGGTGGTAAACCGGTCCGAGCATGAAGACGATTGGCCGGATCCTCGCGTGCGTGTTATTGGCAGTTGTCCTGGCGAGAAATGTGCTTGCACGGAGTGCCGGGAATATCGAATTTTCGAAGGGACGCGGCAACGAGATCCGAGCGCGAGACAGCGTCACGAGGCACCGGCTGACCTCGCGACCGAGTCCAGACGTCGGCGATTCTCGTCGGGGCATCCTGGATGACACGTCCGAAACGGAGGACGACAAAAGTGGTATGCGACTTTGCTTTTATGCGCACGTTAATCGGCGCAATTAATGAATCTTGCGTACACGAGGAGTAGCGATTCACCTGGTGACCTAACCTAGTAGGTGGTCCACCTACAAGTCCATCTTCTCTCGATACTAATCTGTTGGTTAAGATTGATTAAAGAGGCTCCCGATAGAGACGAGAGAATTGCGATAGATGAGCTCTGCAAATTTGACACACACTCTGCCGGCATTGTGTACTCGCCAAGATGTCTAAAAATCGATATTTCTGCCGGTAGGTCGAGGGCTCGTGGGATCTCGCACGTTCGGAATGAAGAGGTTGCAGTTCATGCTGATGCCTATGATGTACAAAATGGGAGTAATGATGACGATGTTGATGGTGCTGACGGCGATCTCAGTGAAGGGACTTTTCATCGGTGAGCCACGTTACTTTCGTGCGCAAGTGGAAAGTGTCACCGACACGATCGGTAACGGTATCGAGCTGTCTCGTTGAGAGCGCAGCGTAGCTGCATGCATGATTAGGAGAGATCGCTGACCCATTTATTCGCACGTGACATTTTATGGGTTACATTTCCGAGTACACGCTCGAGCGAGAGTCGAATTCGTCGGAAAAGTGTCCGCTGAGTATCAATTTATTAGCGGGCCTACGTTGTCGCATGTATTAATATTAACGTAATATTAACGTAGGAATTTTTCCTCGGCAATTTTATCCGCCCTTAGAAATTCTTTCTCGACAATTTTATCTTTCTTGGTAAATATATAAATAGAAAAGGGTACACCTCGTCGATTTTTTTCATTTTGAAATATGTTGGAAAGGATGAAATTCTGAATGACTTTTCACAATACAATTATATGGGGGTCGCTTATAGTTTCTGAGATATTTGACTTTGAAGTTTTATAATTGTACGTTGAAGTATATTTGAAGCAGAGGTGAATATATAGAAAGCGGCACCTCACCGGTTTCTTTTCATTTTGAAATATGTTACAAAGGATCAAAATTCTGAGTGACTTTCTGATACAACTATATGGGGTTCGCTTACAGTTTCCGAGATATTTGATTTTAAAGTTTTGGAATTTGATTATCCTGGAATTAAATTTCAGATATCATAAGCTGACGTTATTCAGAGTACAATCCAAACATAGTGTATACATAGAAATATAGGAAACAGGAAAAATCCTAACCTAACCTAACTTATTGCATCTTTGTATATTGTTGGGCGATGTTGACAAGATCTCCTTAAAAGCCACAACACCTAATTATATGCAGATATCATGATAAGTTAAGTTGAGCCAGGTGATAGATCTTGAGAGAATCTTTTTCGACAATGTCCAAAAATATATGAGATATATAAGATGCAATAAGTTAGGTTAGGTTAGGATTTTAGGGGGAGGGGCGGAGCCCCTCTCCCGCTTATATGTACTGTTTCCTACATTTCTATGTATACACTATGTTTGGATTAACTGTTTGGATTATACCGTAAATAACGTCAGCTTATGATATCTGGAATTTAATTCCAGGATAATCAAACTTCCAGAACTTAAAAATTAAATATCTCGGAAACTATAAGCGATATAGTTGTATAAGCGATATAGATACCCCATATAGTTGTATCAGAAAGTCACTCAGAATTTCATCCTTTATATAACATATTTCAAAATGAAAAAGATCGGTGGAGTGTACCCTTTTCTATATCCCTCACCTCTGCTTCAAATGTACTTCAACGTACAATTATAAAACTTTAAAGTATAATGCCTCAGAAACTGTAAACGACCCCCGTATAATTGTATTAGGAAAAGTCCCTCAGAATTTCATCCTTTGTAACATATTTCAAAGTGAAAAAAATCGGTGAGATGTACCCTTTTCTATATATATTTACCCTTATCTTTTACAAACATTTCATTTTCGTCCAGATTCTATCATTTTACGTGTACATTCATTTCGTTATTTCGTGGAACACAATTTGCCCTCGGTAATACGTTTCGCGCTCTAGTTGTACATAAAGTTGGTTTCAGCGCGCATTACAGCAATTACACACGTCGTGTCTTCCCGCTTACAGGTATCATACTATTGGTGCTGAAGCTCAGCACGTTTCTAGCGAAACTTCACTCCTGGCATCATCACGCAGCACCGCAAGCATGGTCACCGCCGCAACCGATTCACGTGCACGTACACAACAGTTTTCCGTACGCTCACTCACAGGGCTGGGAAATGAGCGGGCCAGGAATGGAGGAGCAGCACTATTACTACAAGGGATAAATCATTTCGTCGGAAAATCGATTCGTCAGGCAATTTCGCCTTTCCGTCATTTCGTGCCGTTCGACTTATTCCGCTGACGCTAAAAACGTTGACGATGCCCCTCCAGTTGTAGGTTTTAGGCAATTTTAGATAGCGAAGGCATCATCAACGTTCCCCGTCCGCCGTCGTAATTTATGATTGCAGTCATATACATATACCCATTCCGCGTAAATCCGCGGAATCGAAATATTCTCCGCGGATGTTGATGCTCGCGCGAGCATCAACCGCGAAAATATTCTTCCGACAACCACGAGGCTTCGCGCGTGTCTCACACTTAGATTACCATTTTACACTTAAGCTCTACTTCTACGAGTATACCAAAGGGATTTCTGTAACTTACAATTAGAGCGCGAAAGTTCACGAAAGTTCGACGTGCAAGCTTAGCAATGAGCGCGATGAGGCGACCAAGGCGCGCCTAGATTCCGCGCGAAGACAATTAGACGCACATTAGTCGTTGCTCAAATAATAATTAAACAAATCTTTCTACTCTGTTATTCACGCCGTCTCACGACAGCTGGCTCGCTTTAGTCTACATCGTCCTGTCGTGTCGTCCTTGCGCCAGTATTTCTTCCTGCACTTTACGAACCGCGTTATATTTTGCGATCAGTCGTAATTACAAACCGCCAGATCGCGACAGAGAGCAAGCGCGGCTCTCCTTCCTGCAAAAGTACACCAGTGATGTTTCTGCAGCACGCGATGAATTTGTATTAATTATTTGTATATCGCTAATTAATCTCATAGTTTAATTTGTCTTGATTTATCACACGATGAGCCTTCAAGATACGTACGTAAATGAAACAGACCGTTCGCTTGTACGAACGGAAAAGACATTGTTAACATTCTGACAGATGAAATGTATAAATATCGACGAAAGTGTTCGTCTCGACTGCGAAAAATGTGCGCCGTGCAGGGTCGAACAAATCCGTACCGTAAAATGAGAAACTTGTACTTGTTAACGGAAAAAGAAATACTTGTATTTAGCAATTGTCGCATACCTCATGTAATTAGTAAGTAGTATTAGATATATTTATATTGTGTTGTCGAGATCGCGTTGTAAAAGGATGTATTTTCTCCAAATTATTGTAATATATTTGTAAATCAACGTGTCACGCGCGTTTGTCGTGAGTCTTCGGGTGATCTTATTACGCACTTCTTCTTCGTACGTACCTGGAAAATATTTTCGAGCGTCGACGGAAATTTCTTTCCGTCGACGCTTTTTCCTCTCTTCGGAAACGCAAAGAGAACAACCGTCGACCGTCGACTTTTGTTTGACGTAAAATCCTCGACCGTCGATCACGATATTTATCCGTCAACATCGGCTCGTTTACTCGTCGTTACCGACGAGTAACGCGTCAGCGCACGATGCGGTGCGTCCACGTTACGCTCGCCCCGACATAAATAGCGTTCTTCTAGTACACGAGACCTAGTTTCTCGGTCTAGTGGGGTACCCGAAGAACGAAAAAGGAAAAATATCTCCGCTGCGCTTCGCGTAGCACGGTGCAGTCCGCTCGCCGGACGAACGCGAGTACAACGCGCGTTGCATCGTGCGTCGAATCTGAGGAAAAAGTCCGCTCGGCTGAAAGTCCCCGAAGTTTCCATCGCGTCCGGCCGGTCAGTGACATGTTGTTCGTTTTGTTCGAGTAATTCCGACGAGATCGTCGGAGACGTCGTTGTCGCTCGCGTGACGTCACGATAGCAGTCGATAACAGTGTGAGAACGGCGCGTTGCGACGCCGCGTATATCTCCACCGACCGATCGTAAACAGTAACGAGAGACATGGTCGGGACGAAATTGTTCGTTTGCAATATTATCGTCTGGCTGGTGGCGGCGTCGAAGATGTTCGCTCGAGCCGAGGAGAGACAAAACGGCTCGCTGACTCGCCTGAACGAGACTCAGGGCTTGAACGTGTTCCCAGGGATCAAGTTCTCCTCGACGGACGGCGAAGTCATCGTGCGCGTGAGGATGCGCGATTTACTACAAGGTATCGCGATATTTCGTTTATTTACTTACTCACTGACGGCAGAATTTTTCGAAAGCCATAGTTAAGTATCTCTCTCCCCCTCCCGCTCTTCCTTCGCTCTCCCTCTTTCTCTCTCCTCGATCTATCTGGCCCTCAGAGACGGAAGTGCAGGCTCGCGAGCGAAAGGAAAGAAAGAGCATCCTGCAACGAATTGGATATATGATGATGATGACACCGTTCGTCATGCAGGTTCGCCATTTTTAATACCGTCCGACTCGCGCCGCCGGACTCGCTCGAGGAAAAACGAGGATCGGCGTTTAACGCGATTAACGTTCTTCTGCCTTTTCTTCGTCCAGGTGCTCTCTCTGCCGGGCGCCATTGCGTCCATCAAGACGTCACTGCTGAGGAGCCTCATGGTCGCTCAATTAGCGATCGCGATGATGATCTACAATTTGATCAAGAACGCAGAGAACTCGAACGTGGTGGTGGTGCACCAGCCGCAGCAGCATCACGCGCATTATTATCACAGTTATCATCCCGACGACGAGGACGAGTGGTTCGGCAGATGAGACGCGACCGAGAAGAGGAAGCGAGGGTATCTTCGATACAGTCTGAGGATGCGAAAGACGAGAGCGGCCGGTTGACGGCTTAGACTTTCCAAAGCGACGCGCTCGTTAGCGTATGAGGGACACCTGTGATATAGAAAACGTCGTGATGAGATGCAAAATTACATTGTCCAATTGTTTATGTACATATATACATATATACACGTTTATACATAAATTATTAAATCAATTTGATTTACGCGTGTGTGTCACGCGTGCAGGAGTGCGCGCGTTTACGATGTCGACGCACACATTTATCCCTGTGTATAGCGCGTACGCGATCGTCGGAGAAAGAGCGAACGTGCGTATTTCTAGGCGATCGCGTGTGTTAGCCGCTGTCCGCGTTTTACTTCATATTAAGCGAAGCGCCCGCGCCGCTCGGTAGGTACGATATCAAGACGTCGAGTGACCCACTTAACGGGCCTCCACATAACGGCATTTCGGTCCAGATTCCTGCAGATGAGCGCGAGTCGCGCGGCGGCCGCCGTGCGTCGCCGCCTAACAGGTCTCTGCCATTTCTCTCTCGGTAAATTCGACATCGAAATCGAAATTACAATTCCGACAGGCTGCCCCTGCAGCTGTCGGAAGTGTCACCGAGGCCGGCGAAACGCGCGCTGCTCGTCGCGTCGCGTCGCGGAAACGCGGGAACGCGGAGAGCGACGCTCCGCCGCGGCGCGTAATTACGGGCCGCGTATCAAAAGTTTGGCGAAGCTCGCGCGCGACGAATCGACGAATCTGCGAGACTTCGGTATTCGCGGTGCGTATACGCGGGCCAGAAACCGCGTCTTCCGCCCGCTCGCACAGCGCCCTGGTCGTTAGTATGCCGCGGGTGCCGCCGCTCCTAAATCGGCACCTCGAGCGGCAATGCTCGAGCATGCGGCGCGCTGCTTGAGCTACAAAATGCACGATGCAGCGCGCGTACGCGCTAAATGAGGGTGCTCAGGCCGTGTCGCTGATCGAGAAACGCGCAGATCGGGTAAACATCGAAAGGCGGTTGTTACGACGTTACGTGAGGGAATTCAGGTCCCACCGGCCGGCATTTCCCGATTCGATACTCCGCGATCGGGTTTCAAAACTGCGGCTCGTTCGATATCCGCTCGACGGAAAGTCGAGCAATTCTCGAATACAATTAGACGGCTGCACATTGTCTTTCGCGTGCCCGCCTTCCGCCGTGCAAATGCGCGCGCTCTCTCTCCCCTCCCTGAGTGAGTCTCGAATTGAAGCGAAGAATCGCGGCGAAGGTAAACCGAAAGTCGACGGGGGAAGCTTGCGAATTCGCGCGGGGAGCGGCACCCGCGAATACTTCCCGTTGCAGACCTCAGTGCGATTTTCAACGGCAGGAGGCCCCCGAAATCTCCCCGAATTCTTCGCGTCCCGTCGCGATCGCGACGCGCCGCGCTTTCTAACTCTCCCCGCTGGGCTTTTTTAATCGCTTAGCAGTCGGGCGAAGAGTAACTTTTCGTGCCAAAAGTGTGTTGGACTTTTTTGTTCAAAACTACACCCGAACTTCGTTATGACGGTTTTTGGGGTTGCTGAATCCGAGTATGAAATCAGATTTCTGAAATTCACAATGGCCGATCCAATATGGCGGACCGAAACAAAAAGTTATTTTATTTGAATGATGCTCGACACTCGGGGACTTTTGAAGTCGCCGAACCCGAATCTGACGTCATATTTTCAAAATTCAAAATAGCGGATCCAATGTGGCGGACTAAAACGCAAAAATTTACTTTATTTTAATGATACCCGATATTCGGGGTTTGTCAAATCGCTGAATCCGAATCTCATCAGAATCTCATTCTAAAATTCAACACGGCGAATCGAAAACGCCCGATGAATTTATATTCAGCGACTTCAATAAACCACAAGATACCAATTTTTACAGAAATCCAAGTATTTTTCGAATTTTTCCAACCGCCATATCGAATCCGCCATTGTGAATTTCTAAAATCTGATTTCAGATTCGAATTCAGCGACCTCGAAAACATACAAATACCAAAGCGCAATCAAATCGCAATAGTATAAATATGTTTTTTTTTTAAACAAGATGCTCATATATGTGTCATAAGTGGCACGAGATTTATTTGCCCATATATGTGTCACTGACGGCTAAGCGGTTAATCGGCAAGTCGCGGCGCGCGTGACGTCGACGAGCGCTCATCTCCGAAATCATCGCCGCCGGTCTCTCTCTCTCTCTCTCTCGCGAACGGTGCCACTTTCGATGAGCCGCCGTGCGATTTCTAATCTCCGCTCGGGATCGGCCGTCTACGTCATCGGCCGAAGTTTCCGACGTAGGTAGATTTGGAATCGATGCGTATCCACCGGCGCGCATCAATATGGCCCTGACCCTCATTCCGCGGTACTCGTCCCACATACTCGCGCGCGCGCGCGGGGGGGGGGAGGGCAGACGGGGAGAAAGAAGTATTCGCCGCGTTGAAAATCTCTAATAACTCTCTCCCATGTGCTCCTTCGATCGATCGATCGATCGATCGATCGATCGATCGTCTGGCCCTGCAACGTCGAGGCGAAGAAAGAAGGGAAAGAAGAAAGGAGAGAAAAAGATTTCTTTCTGGATGGGAAAAACAATTAATCGCCCCGACGCGCGCTTTTTCATCCTCGCGCGCTCGTCTCTCGCGCACACAATGGCCGACGTTGAAAATTACACCGTTCCGTTGACATTAGCCGGCAACAAGCGCTGTCCGATTGGCTGACCTATGCGCTTGAGCGCTCATTAATTTATTGTAATCCCGCATCGCCGATCCGACAGGCGCGCTCGAGGGACGGCCATCGTGATCCGACGGCATCGTGAGAATACAAAATGAAAGGTCATCTAATCAATATATACGGATTTACTTACTTACTTATACTTACCCAGCGTGATCGCCAGAGAAACCCTCTCCGTCTTGTCTTAGCTCCGACTCGGGGAGAAAAGTCACTCTGCCTAACGCTAATGAGTTTGTTAATAAACTCGCGGCAGACTCGAGTCGACACGCCGCTCTGTGGCGCATATCTCATCGAAATGATGAATCCATCTACATCGACGTGGAGTTTGCTCGCTCTCTCTCTCTCTCTCTCTCTCTCTCTCTCTCTGTCTCTCTCTCTCTCTCTATCTCTCTTCGGTCTGGTTTACAATTGAAATACCAGCTTGGCGTGGCACAAGAGTCGTCGGAGCGACAGCGAGGTGTTCGTGCCGGACGAGCCGAGCGGGAGAAGAAACAGCGCCGCCTGTTCTCATCCTTGGAGATTGATTTATACGGAAAATCCAGATAAAACGTTAATGGCTTTTTGCCGGGTATTTATGTCGCAGGCACGATAATCGTGACTTCATGGTGTCAAGAAGCATCGCTGGCGGGTCGCCGCGGCTAGATAGACGCACGCTCGTGGAGACGTGGTTGTAAAGTTTCACGACGAGATGGATGCAATCTGCAGCGCGGAGGTGCCGCAGTGTGCGTTCGATCGGCGGCGATTTACGAGCGTTAAATGGAGCCCGCGCGCAATTGTAGCCTCCTCCGACACACAGTCGCGTAGAGGCGAAACGTGTGTGAAAGCACGTACGAGGAACGGAGTCTTGTACCGATTTTTCTCCCCCGACACGACACTCTCTCGCGTCCTCGCGTAAGTTGCGCGTCGTCGTTTGGCGGAGGATAATCCTCCGCGAACGCACGCTTGCAGCAATGCTTCTCTCGTTTGTGTTACGTCAGCGCTGCATGTGCTCGCAGAATTCCGTTCCTCCTGTGCCGCATCGTCATTCGGTCGCGCGAGCCACTCGGAGCCACAGGGATATATCTCCGCGGGATGTCGTCGTCCTCCACGGTGAGGATGCGCCTGGACCGCTGCGGGAGGGAGCTTCTCTCGTCCGCTCTTCTCGTTTCTTTTCTCGCGCGTACCCGAGCGCGAGAAGCTCAAGCGATTTTCGTTGCAGAAGGGATGCTGCGCGCTGCTGTGCCTGCTGCTGTGCCGCCTGCTCGCGCGACACCGCGCCCTCGCGGACCAGAGCACCGAGCGGCCGTACGAGTTCTCCTTCAATATCATCGACTTCCAGCACAGATACGAGAAGAAAGGTATCTGCAGATCGGGGATAAGTGCCGTGTGCGACAAGGTTCCCGGGGAAAACTTGAAACTCGGAGGGAAGGGGGCAGTTTTCCGGATCGATCGAGGAAAGTTGCAATACCGCGAAATCGGTATAACGTAACAATTATTATGTATATTATTATTATTATTATTATTATTTTAGAAAAGAAAAAGAAAATAATAATGTCTCTGGTAGACTGTCAATTTCTTTTCAATTTTGCGCAATTTTCTATTTATATTTTCTTCTCTTCTGCCGTTCTTCTTCTCTTTTTCCTCCATATCATCGAAACTCGTCAACTCGTTGCACGATGAAAGAAATAAATTCTTCCGTCGTACAAATTTCAGTATTATAGCTTTCCAGGGCAATGCATGCTTCCGGTCTTCTCGAGAAAGTCGTATCACGGAAGATCGTCTCGGTATTGGGATTTCGGGAAGTTTTCCTTGTCGCATTTCGGTGTGCTTCTTTGTGACAATTTACATTGATTGACATTGTTGTCTCGTTGTCTGCCAATCGAGATGCCGAGGGACTGATTAACGGGGAATACGGCTTCATCACGGCTGACGGTGTCTACCACGAAACTGGATACGCCACGGACGAAAACGGTGATTTCATCATCACCCGCATGAGAAACCGGAAAATAACGAGCTGTAAGTTCACGTTCGTTATTTAGAGGCTCTATTACAACAAACTCGCACATTTCGGATCGCCTCCTAAAGTATCTCCTGTTCGACCATCAAGTGAAAGACGCCCAAGAGATATTCAAGGACAGGCCGGAGGCGGCCAAGAAATTGGTGGAGGCGATCTCGAGGGCCTGCAGCGGCTGCAAAATCGCCGCCGTGAAAGACGAGGAAGTCGCCGTGAGACCCGAGAAACGCGGTAAGACGACGTCGAAAAGTTCGTTCCCGGCGAAATTAACGCAGACCGCTCGGCGAGACCGCTCCTTCGTGAACCACCGATCGATCGGCCAACCTATTCGGTGATTCCGATCAAAAACAACAAAACGGTCAATTCCATTGTCGCATTTTGTCACCGCCATCACCGCAAAAGTTGCAAAAGTTATCAACTACTCGAGTCGTATGCTCGTCACATTCGCAAGCCGCGAGTCGTTATCGCAGATACACGGAATGCGTTATCGAGAGGCGATGAGTGATTATCGATTCTTCCGGTTCTACGCAGCGGACGCCCCCAAGATCCCGACGAGCAAGTCCCGCAAGGAGAAGGTCTTATCGGTGGCTCGGCCCAAGGAAGAGGTGGTGAGGAACGTGATGCGGGCGGCGAAGGAGCTGCTGCCGCAGCAGAAGCCCGGCCCGCGCAGACTCGCCGCGGACAAGCAGGTGCTGGCGAAGATGGCGAACGACTTGTATTATCGATTCAACTACTCAGTCACCACGCACGGCCACCACGAGGACGGTTATCGCAGCGGCCGGAAGGACGGCAGTTACCGCTCGCAGAGCGACGACGGCGTCGAGACGCGGGTGAGGTACCTGTCCAACGAATTCGGCCACCAGCCCAACGTCACGTTCTTGCCGCGCGCCGACGCGGCCGAGCAGGAGCACGCCCTCAAAGGATACTCGTTCCGCTGGTACTGGTCGTGAATCTCGCCACTCCGCTTCTTATCTCGACAGCCGGGGTTTCTCTCTTTCTCTTCTGTCTTTCCTCCTGTTTGTCTGTCCTTCTCGCCTCATTCTCATCTTTTTTCTCTCACGCTAACGGGATTACGCGCCAAAAGAGTGCGGCGGTTTAGATAGCGTCCTCCTCGGGCGGTTCATCGCGACGAGCGAGAGGATCGACGACTTGTTAACCCTTTAACGCCTGCTGCTAACTACAGCAGTCACTAGAAACGCATTTAAGCATCCATAAGTTAGTCAAGAAAGGAGATATCTTCGTTTTCTTTGCACCTGCAGTGTAAAGGTGAATTCTTCTTCTAAAAAATGGCATATAGATCGTACGTAGATTCGGTTCAGTCTGTTTTTAGCTCAGTTTTAATGATAACACGGGGCGGCCGGTTCACTTTGACAACGAGAAACTGAAGATGACCGAAGACGTCGCAGGAAGTGTTACAACAAGCACATGCCTGGTTGAGGAAAACAGTAAAAGACGTTGTCAATTGCGCAGCTCGAGAGGGAAGCGAAGTAGGACAAAAATAATTTGCGAAACCTGTAAAAATTCACCTCTGCATCTCTCGATGCTTTATGCGATTCCATTCCGGGTGAATAAATAACAAGTTCTGAATATATGAGTCTTATGTTTCGGGGAATTTTTCCAACCGTTAGGTATGATATAAAAAAATTATTAAAACTAAAAGAAAAAAGGAATTTAACCGATCAGGCGTATTTTTCGCCTTCTGGTAGCAGTTTCTGCTTCTGCTGGAAGGATAGTTTCTCGTAGATATAAAATTCTGATATTTTTTATTTTTGGTCATCACCACTTATAGTCTCAGTTCAAAAAAACTCAAATTTTATTCTTAAAACACTTGTAAAAAGCTCGAGCGTTAAAGGGCGTTAAAATCGAGCTCCGCTCCGACGCTAAGATAAAAGTCTGAAGACGTTATTGTCTCGCGCACGGAATACGCATGTGGCAATTCTCCTCGGCGCTTTACGCGGCGAACACGCTGCTTGATAGCCTTGTAATTGGACTCGCGCACGCGAATGCGCGACTTCAATGACGTCTCTCGCGTAGAAATCCAGAATAAATGGTGGCGGAATGGTGGTGAGACACGGTGAAAAGTATGATTTTTACTCTCAGTTCGATCCACCGCGATCGCGCTCACGATTCGTTCGACTCTCTCGGCGAGCGCGGCAAAACGCGCTGACTCCTCTTTTCTAACAAGAATTCGCTCGAAGGCGTTTCAAAAGCGCGAAGATGTAGTCAAACCGGTAGGCTCGTTGGCTCCGGCTAATTGTCAATTGAGAACGTTGTTAAGCTCGCGCGCGCATCTCCCGAGGCTTTCTCTCGGAGGAGGAGCGGCAGAGCACACACGGGGACGACATTGTGCCTCGTGCCAATATCGCGACAGGGATACTATTACACCGGGTTATTATTATTGAAATTAGAGGATGGCGAGAGAACGTGCACATCGGCCAGATGTTTCGGAGATTATTATACTGGGGGATAACGCGAGCTTCATCCACGAAGCTAACGAACTGCGGTTTTACCGCCGCGCGTAAATAATACGGGATAACGGTCCGCGGCGGCAAAACGGTCGCGCCGTCACCGTTTTCGTTCCACAAAGTTCACTCCTGTGCGGGCCGGTCCTCGCGATAGTCCTCCTCGTCTTTCGGGACAAGATGGACACCCTGTATAAAGTGTCGTATTTAAAAGTATTGTTTCGCGTTCACGAGATTTCACGTCGTGAATTCCGCGGATTGCGGATTCGATCGCGGGCCAATACTTTTCAATGCGACGGGGAGAATAGAACGTGAGAATCTTGTGTGCCTCTGAATCCGAAAACGATTAGGAGAAGAAGCGAACACAACTTTTCAATGCGAAAGTTCGCGTTTGAAAATTATCGATTGCGACTGAATGCGAGGCATATTTGAGATGAATTGAATCCCTTTCTTGAATGCGAAGCATTCACCACTGCCGTCTCGCATTTAGCGCGGTGAAATTTATTGGGAACTGACTGACACATCACTCAATAAGTTCGTAGGGTGACATATAAATGGCGCTACTATTGACAAATCCATATGACTTTTAGGAAGTACTAACCTTCGTTCGAATGATACGTGTCAAAATCTCATGACAATCGGACGTTCAGTTCACAAGTTACGGTGGTTTTAGTGGACGCACGACGTCGACTCGTTTCAGCAACGCGTCGACGATTCAGCGGGCTGTTTGGAGCTGTTTCAGCGCAATAAGAAGGATTTGTTGATGCGGTATGGCTGACAATGGATGAAACATGGATCCGTCACTACAGACTCCACAGTCAACTCGGCAGGGAAAGCTCCAGGCAGAGAGAGAGATTTGGCTCCAATGAAGAAGTGTGATTGCCGAAAAATTGCTGAAGCCTTGCTAGAACGAGTCGACGTCGTGCGTCACTAAAACCGCCGTAACTTGTGAACTGAACGTCCGATTGTCATGAAATTTTGACACGTATCATTCGAACGAAGGTTAGTACTTCCGAAAAATCATATGGATTTGTCAATAGTAGCGCCATTTATATGTCATCCTACGAACTTATCGAATGATGTGTTACTTCTCGATCCCTTCCTTCGGATCGGAAAGCAGAATTCAGACGTATTCAAAATGTCAATACTCTTCAATACGTTTCAATTCGACATTTTACACAGGAGGAGGCGGCAAGAGCGAGGAGCGTCGCGAGAGTCGCGCGGGCGTCGAGTGATTTATCCGTAAGAGGAATTCGCGCGAAATATCCTCGCGAGAACGCGCTCGATGTCCTCGCGAGAAGGGACCTTTGCGCGGACGCGTCGTATTTCGTTGGATTATGACAGGCCTCAGACGAGGCGAGGCGAGGTATGCGCGCGCGCGCTCGTATGAGCGCCTTATCGCAATTCGCAATCGCCGCAGCACGCGGCTTTACTGCGGGCCGTGATTGACGATTCGACGCGACGCCAGCGAAATATACGTAAAGGGCGAGCGTGTAATCCTGCCGCGGTGAAAGGTAAGACGAAAATCGGCGCGCGACTCACGAAACCCGGCCGGCCGCGTGGTGACTCGCGGTGTTTACGCGCGCGCTTAATTAACGGCACAAAACGCTACGCTGTACTCCTGAGTAGCGGAAGTCTCTAGTCTCTATGGTAGCAAACGGTGGACGGCTCGCAAAAGCCGCTTGCCGGCGAAAAGTCCGAGCAGCCGAAGAAAAACGTGACTCGCGAGATCGCATCAAGCGCGATCGGCCGAACGGCTCAAAGTCGAGGAAAACGCGCGCCGACGCGGAAGTATGCTAAATACAACAGTGTGCAATCTCTCGGTCGTCTTCCGAAAGCAACGATTTCACTGCGATTTGATCCCCCTTCGTTCTTAAAATGGCGATAAAGGCGACGGCTGGAATTGGGTTGTATTTGCATCGTGCCGTTGTCGCTCGGGCGGAATTTTCGATCGCGCCGACGGCGCCGCGCCATGTGTGTGACACAGCTCCACTCTGTGTGTGTGTGTGCGTTTTACCGGAGTTATCGTCGTTGCGACTCCAAGTTTAGTGAGGCCTATAAGATGCCTCATGAATATTCGACGACAAGATCACGATTCGAGGACGCGCGGCGATTTTCGCGCGCGTTGTTAAAAAATCGTCGCGACGTGTCGAATCAAACAACGGTCCGCCCGTAATCTCTACCCGATATTAACGAATGAAAGCTGACAAGGAAGACAAATGTGCGAGATCCAGCGAAAATATCCGGACAAAATTCGAAAGCGAGCTTGAGATTCGAGGACATCCGACGATGTCCGCGACACGAGAGAGGAATTGTGCTGTCGCTCTTATCGGCGGCGATCGCTCATCGGCCAGCGCTAAGGAGCCAAAACCGGAGCGCGAATTAAACGACGCGAGCTGGAGCAGCGGGAGAGTGGACGACGAGGAAGAGGAGAGTGCGAGAGTGCCTGAAGAGACACCGAGAACGAAAGTATCGCGATTCCGTTGGCGTGGCATAAATTACACGAAAGCATGCCTCGTGTATCGCGACGACGACGACGATGACGACGACGACAACGGCGACGACGACGACGACGACGACGACGACGACGACGACGACGACGACGACGACGACGACGACGACGACGACGACGACGACGACGACGACGCAAGCGGTATATCCATTTTTCGATATGGCACTCCTCCTCATTCATCACGCGAGTCTCGTGTCCCGAGCGGACTCCCTCCCGGAGGACCTCGGGCGCTGTTTCTTCGCAAACGATGCCCGCAAAAGGTGCCCTCCACCTGCGGTGGAGGGGTGGCCGCTAGATGCGCGCGAAACCAAACCCACTATTGGCGGAAGTTGGGATGGAAGGGACGGCGGTCTCATATATGTTCGACCACGCACGCTCCACAAGCACTTGGAGCTTGTGACACGCGGTCCAAGGCCACGGGCGGGCGGTCAAGATCAGGAAGGTAAAAAAAAAAAAAAAAAAAAAAAAACAAGAAGAATACCTTGCGAAGGCACGACGAGGGCGACGGACGCGAGTTCGCAGTCATCGGCGAAGTCATCGGTGCGCGCGAATCTCCTGGTGACAGTGCGCCTCGATCTCGGTGAAGATCTACGAACCAGCCGGACACCATGAGGACGCTCACGTCGTCGATCTGCCTCTTGGTCCTCCTCGGGCTTACGCCGCACGTCCGCTGCGAGCGGCCGACGGAGGAGAGCGCTCGTGACAAGGAGGACGGCATCCTGGAGTGTATATTCGAGGACAACAGCAGCAACTGCCTGAGGACGAGGCTGGCTCGCGACCTGGACGAGATCGAGCGGGAGGTCACCGGCAAGAAGGGCGAGCCGCCAATGAGCGTGGTGCTCGAACAAGCTGGCGGTACGATCGCGGAGGTGATCGAGGATCTGCAGGAGACCGGCGTGGAAGGAATCATCGGGGAGGACGAGAAGATAGGTGAGAATCGAAGGAGCGTCGAGATCGTCTTTGACGAAGAAGGGAGAATTATTTCGCTCGTCATTTCCTCTACATCGCATTTTTCATCGCGGCTAAATATATTCCGCGATATGAAAAATCGTCCGCTCACAGTGATGTATCCTTTGCCCGATTTGCCGCGCGGGCTTTCGACTCGCGGAGAATCTCTCCCAAAATTTCTTACTGCTGTCTCTTCGAGATCGTCCCGCGACAATTTTTTTTAATTATTTCTCTTCGGTTGTTGCTTCGATATTACGCCGATGCGATCGAATTGAGTAACACGTATACGATATATCACTGCTTATCCTCACATAAAATTACATAAATCTACCGTCGCTTTTTGTATGGGCGAAGCGTAACCGAATGGCATGTCGCATAATGAAGTCGTCGCAGATCGAGACCGCGACGCGACGCCGCGATTCAAATTCCTAATCGACAGGACGACGTGCGGGACGCATGACAAAGCTGCTCGCGCGTCGTCGGTTTCTCCTTTGTACACCGTATATCCGGAGAAGCACCGTTGAACAAAATCGGCCGGTTGACGGTCCTCAACGCAGCAACGAACCCTCCTCTATCGTGGCGACGTATCGTGGCAAAAGGTCGGTTCGTCTGGCCACGCTGAAAGTTCCCGCGAGGCCGGATGAAATCAGAATCGGAGCAATGACGGAAAATAAATTAGTCGGCGGAAGGCAAATTAATAACGCGAATAAGTTAATAACAGCGACGCTTTTATACACTCGCGCGGCTTCCGCGGCGCCCGCGAGGTGAATTTCACGACCGTAATAAAAAAGAAAGATTGCGAGGCGACACAATGTGCACCCGTCGAGGCGACGACTTGTCCCACTTGCATTCCGGCGGCCCGCGAATTAATCGAATCGACAATGGAGATGTCGCGTCGTTAAACGCCAGCGATACGAGAGGAAGGTCATCGTCGCTCGACCATCGGCGCTCCCGAATGGGGTTTATGAATGAAGAACGCGCGCGACGATCCTAGATCGCTCGACGGAACGAATCGCATCGACAAGACGTCGAGGTATACAAGACCGCGCGGCCGACGCGACGATACGCGAAGGTGAACGAACCTCGTTTTATCTCGTGTTTGCATAACGTTTACGTCCGGCTAGACGCGATCGCGTGAGCAAACGCGCAAGAATTAGGGCTGACGCTGAGCGAAACGGTCGGAGAGAGAGACAGAGAGAGAGAGAGAGAGAGAGAGAGAGAGAGAGAGAGAGAGAGAGAGAGAGAGAAAAGGGCTAGAGAGAGCACTGATAGAAAAATATCGTTGAATTAACTATAATCTCACTATAATTTATAGTTGATTTCGGCGTCAACCATATTTTTATAGTTGGCGGAACCTGCAAAAATGTAGTAGAATAAACACAAATATATAGCCAATGATTGTCTTAAATAATTGTTTAGTTACTTTCACCACTTTTATATGGTGGTGATTTCTCATTCACAAATACAGTGAGATTTAATATTCATATAGTTACATCTGTCATCATTTAGCAAATATTCTGGCTAATATTGACTATATAAAGGAGTTACTTTGTACCTACCATTGTATATTTGTATCCATACAATAATTTTAGTTTAACTTGCTACAATTCTTGGTAAAAATATTATATTGGTTGGTTATATTATGGCTATATCGTAATTATTACCGATATTATGGTAACACTTACTATAAATATGATATTTTGGACTATAATTTAGTTACTATATCATTATAGTTCCAAATATCATATACTTTTCTCTCAGTGAGTGAGAGAGAGAGAGAGAGAGAGAGAGAGAGAAGGAGGGAGGGAGGGAGGGAAAGAGAAAGAGAGAAAGAAAGGACAAGACAAAGACAAAGAGGCGACGGAGAAAGACAAGCGGAACCGCAAGTAAGTCTTGCGATCGCTCTCACAGCGCGTCAATAATGAACGTTTAAATGTTTGCACGCGATTGTGCTCACGCGCGTGTGTCGCCGATTCCGCCGGACGGCTCGAGTCGCGAACTCGAGCAGATCGACGGTAACGGTAACGAGTCGCATTACTCTCTCGCCATTGCCCCGGCTATCATTTCGAGCAAAAGTCAAGAGATGCGAGTCGGCAGTCGACTTGAGCGAGGGCGGGGGCTGAAGGGATAAACGGCGATTCGCGAATGTCGATTTCCACTCGACGGAGCAGGCGGAACGGGCGCGGTCGCTCTAACGAGAGATTAATCATCGGGCGGGTCGACGAAAAAGCTCGTTTAGGCAGATGGACGGTAACGGTACCGGCGGCGCATTATCTTCGTTATCTTTTGGAGCAAAAAATTGTACGGTATTTCCGCGTGGCAAATTGCCGCGGCGACACAAGCGGAGCAATTTGCCGCGTTGCCGACGCGTTGTTGCGCCGTTTGGTTTGGTGGTACAGGGTGTAACAGCGACATACAGGTCAGTATGACGGGTTGCTTCCTCCTGTTCGGATGATAATGCAGAGGTTTCCGAAAAAGTCACTCGTTGACTTTGTTGATAATGATATTTGCCGTGTTCCCAGTTATGACAAAAGCAACTATAATGTAACCTTTGCACCGTGTTCGTTACGACAGTTTATCGACCGTTTATACCGACAGGAGTCGAGGCTCATTGAATTAAAAAAGATGTTTAAAAAATGAAACTGAGAAATAAATATTATGGGATAAAGCAGAATAAGTAAGAGTAATATTTAAAGAGATACAATAGTACAACATATTTCCTGATTTCGCATAATTTCGTAATTCTTTTCTCACGTTGAAAAATTCGATAGAAATTGGAGATTAGGAAGAACGATACGGAAATATTTAAAAGTCTTATATACTGCATCTCGTCCATGCTTCGACGGAAAATCGCTTCTGCAAAAGTATGAATAGACTACAGACGCAATACACAATATATTGGTTGTATTTTCTAGTCCATTCATACAGCACACCCCTGATACTGACCTGTATGTATAATGATATAGTAACTAAATTATAGTCCGAAATATCATATTTATAGTGAATGTTACCATAATATCGGTAATAATTACGATATAGCCATAATATAACCAACCAATATACTTCTTTCACTAAGAATTATAGCAAGTTAAACTAAAATTATTGTATGGATACAAATATACAATGGTAGGAAAAGTAACTCTTTTATATAGTCAATATTAGCCAGAATATTTGCTAAATGATGACAGATGTAACTATATGAATATTAAATCTCACTGTATTCGTGAATGAGAAATCACCACCATATAAAAGTGGTAAAAGTAACTAAACAATTATTTAAGACAATCATTGGCTATATATTTGTGTTTATTCCACTATATTTTGCAGGTTCCGCCAACTATAAAAATATGGTTGACGCCAAAATCAACTATAAAATATAGTGAGATTATAGTTAATTCAACGATATTTTTCTATCACGTGTACGCGCAAAAGACGCTCACGCGACTCGATTCGAAACCGAGCGGGAAGCCGCGCCGCGCGCACCTGGATCGATCGTGATGTCGAGCGCGACGACGACATGGCGAATACTTCTGTCGTCTGGCGTCCGCGAGGAAATTCGGCCGCGCGAAAGCGATCCGCGCGCGACTCCTGAAGAAAGTCTCGCGCGCGCGCAGCCGGCTGCGGGCGATTACGTGGACCCGTAAGCCAGACGAAATACACGCGCCGGGTTAAGGTTTGTGGGTCAGCCTCGCTCTGTAGCGGACCGACTGCTACACACACGTCGTGTTTCCATCCTTGTCCGCAGCTGCCGGATTATGTCGTTCCAGCGCGGCGCGTAGGTATTAACCACCACGCGCGAGTTTCACACGTCGCTCCGGCGCGGCGCGGCGCGACGCGGCGGAGAGAGATTAAATCTTGCGCGCCATTATGACGAGTACATTCGCGCCAATTCTCGTCGTCGACAGGTCGGTGGCAGGTCCGCGTATCCGCTCCGGAGAAAGACGCGTCTTCGTCTCTAATTACCTCTAATTACGCGCTGTACAAATCTGAAGCTTGAAGCTTGAAACGAGCCTAACGCGCGGGCAGGGGAAGGGCGGAGGGGAGGATTCGCCTCGCCTGATGACGCGAAAATGATGCGATGATTTTACGTCACTCTTTCTTCTTTCTCTCTCTCTCTCTCTCTCTCTCTCTCTCTCTCTCTCTCTCTCTCTCTCTCTCTCTCTCTCTCTCTCTCTCTCTCCTCAGAAGAGGCGCGCAAGATCAAATTCGGCAAGAAGAAGAAGAAGAGGCAGCTGCAGAAGCTGCTGGGCCTGGCGATGCTGTTGAAAGCGAAGCTCAGCCTGCTGCTGCAGATCATCAGCACGCACTTCCAGCTCAAGTTCTTCGTCATCGCCATCATCTCCCTGCTGATAAACGCCACGAGATTCTGGCTGGAGCTGAAGAAGAGTCACCCGGCCAAGGTGATATACTACGAGCACGCGCAGCATCAGCACCACTACGATCACGATCACGATCACGATCACGATCACGGTTACTGGGGAAGATCGTCGAACGAGACCCCCATGGATCTCGCTTATCGCGCTTACGTGCCCGCGGAGTGACGTCGAGCCTGAAGTGGCGGGCCGGAAGTGGATCCTGCGGCGGAAGGATCGAAGGGGCAGCGGTCGAACGACGGATCGAGCGCGAGTCTCGTCGTTGAAGGGACCTTCCTTTATTTATTGTAGAAATAATGAGAAATTTACTCTCGCAGCCCGAGAGAGTGCGGCACTCACGCACTCGCACACACGGCGGCGCGTTATTCGTCCTTTATTTATTTATTTATTTAAGTTATCGTCCCGTCGTCGCGGGAATGTTTCATTAACAAGGGGTGATTCGGATCTCTTTCCCCTTCCTCTCTGTCTCTCTCCCTCTGCGGATCGCGAAAGCCAAAATCACCATCACGTATGCCGAAAGCACAGCCGACCCCAAAGCGTCTCATCATCGCCTTGAATCATACCAAAGTTACTTACGAGTACCTGTACGCTAGCTCGCCGCATGGGCGATTCGTTAGGAAGCAGCTATTGTAATTATCGTAAGCGCGTAATCAGTCGTATCGTGATTCGGCAAACGACAAGCGAGTCTTCACCGTTGAGCGTCTCTGCGCGCACGGTAACGCTCGCGCGAAACAAAGAAAGCATCCTCGAAGTTTCCTCATATACAACAATAGTAATTTGTAACGGAGAACAACGGATTCATTTCTGCAGGACCTTGTACGTACGAAAAGTTTTGATAATAAACTATACGAGTACACACAATCCTTTCTCGTACCTCTCTCTCTCTCTCTCTCTTTCTCTCTCTTTCTCTCTCTTTCTCTCTTCCTTCGCAGGGTGTAAAAAGATCAAGATAAAGTGATGCGCTGTTCGCAATCGTCGTGGTCGGCAAAGAAAGGATATATATATTTTCAGTTGGACATATTCGCGTGAGTCCTTCGACTGCAGGTATCGCGTTTATCGACGAGATGACACGAAAAATCGTCACGTCGCCGCCGAAGTGAAACTACTTCGACGGTGCCGCCGCGCGAATCGCGCACGACCTTCCTCAGCCACACCGGGTGGACCATCCTGAAATCTTTGTATTCCTCGGCATGGCGCGACGGCCAATGCGACTGGAATCCTTAAGGAGCGGGCGATACTTTCAGGGTGTTCACCTTGCTACTGATCGATTCGACGATAAACAGACGAGATTTGTGCCGCGATTGAGGCGCTATGGATGCACCGCTGAATAAAGTTTCTCCCGAGGGAGAAACGTGCCCTTCGAAAATTCTACAGGCCCTGGAATCACATTTCGGAATGAACAAGATTTTTCGCAAGGTGCGCGAACTCGAGACATCGGAGCGCGGTATAATTTAATACGTCGCTCGCACCCCTAATTTGCACCGATTGGCCGGTGATTGAATTGGCTTGTGTCATCAATTGCGATTAATTGTAACGTGGCTCGAACGAGACGCGATGATAGTGCCCTTCGCCGCCTGCGCATTTTCCCGCGTTAATTTCTACATAAAATAGATAATTTCGACCGTAAAAGCTGAATAAAGACAAGTCTGCTCAAAGTCACGAGTCTCTTTCGCGCAAAAATTCTTCCGGCAGGGTTGAGGCAGCTGTCGCAATTCCGACGAAGAGAGGCAGATCGTTGTTCACGCACGAGGAGTCACCGAGTGCCCTCGTATCGGACGTTTCTCGACGTCCTCATGATCGACGACTAGAAGCGGCGTCGGTTTCGCAACCGCTTAAGTATTCACGTCCCGAAGAAACGCCGCTCGCGACGCGGCCTTAACGAAGATAAGGCCCGCCGGCCGAGACTGCCCTCGAATTTCGACGGCTGAATTCGCGCAGCGGCACCCTCTCCTCGGAGCCCCCGTTGGAACGCGGCCAATCGCGAAATGGAACGCCGTATATTTTGAGAAAAATGGCTAAAGTCACGAGTGAAAACGAGAAGAAAAATTCGCGTGGTCGGTGGCAAAAATCCGAGTGGACGCTTCGAGTTGAGCTTTGACGTTTCTCTCGACACACACACACACACACACACGAGTATTCCCGGCTCACGTGTGTGATTTATACTCGGCCTTCGTGATGGATGCCCCTTCGGCGACCCTCATAGGCGATTCCGCGCGCCTGGTTCCTCTCAGAAATAATCCTCCTTCTCTCTCTCTCTCTCTCTCTCTCTCGGCAGAAGGACGCGTCTGGCTACCAATAGGCTACAAATTCGCGATAGATCATCGGCGTGTCGTTATTTAATGTCTCACGACCAGTGCAAATTTCATAACGCGTCGCTCGACTCGACGTAAATTGATAAAAAAGAATGTAATAAAAAAAATAAAACAACGACGTGAGGCAACCGAGAGGCAAGAACGTCATCGAGCTACGTAAGAAGAATCGCCAAACGAGGCGAGGCAGCCCTCGCCGGCTGAGCTTCCGAGAGAAAGAGGCAAGTAGAAATTACCAAATGAGCACATCATCGGGCCATCACAGAGCGGCCCGGCATTTGCATCGGGCCTTCGCGAGGATGATGCGAACGTCTGACGATGGTCATTGGCAGACCAAACGTGATGAACTTACTGATTCCGACGTACCGAGAATCGGCCATTCATACAATATTCAAGATCCTTACGGGCACTTCGCTATATAACACCCTCCTGCGGAGCGAGTTCATCAGTCCTCTCAAGATCCCCGAACGCGGAGCTCCAATAAAACGTCAAATTTGCCGAGGGAACGAACCGCGGCCCGAGACCTGAGAGAGAGAGAGAGAGAGACCACCGGCGATCTCAGCCAAAGACGAAAGAAACCTCGGTCGTTCGCGAAGCACCCAGTTTCGTTTCGGGAACATGGCGCGAGACAAGCTCCTCGTCCTGCTGCTCGTCGGCTTCGTCGCGCTGGCTCTGAGCTTGCCCCAACAGTCGAAGCCCAAGAGACCCACTCCGGTATTCAGCAAGGTTTTCACATCTCTGCGTATCCTCGCGTATTCTCGCGCCGCGATCGATATCCCCGATTGAGACGTTTTTGCTTGCAGTCGAAAACCGGCGGTCTGCTGCTGCCCGACAACGCGACGCTGATCCGCGAGAACATCGCCGACACGTTCTCGTGCCAGGACAGAATTTATGGATATTACGCCGACATGGAGAACGAGTGTCAGGTGTTCCACGTGTGCCTGCCGCAGGCGAGGGACGCGATTCGCTGGAGCTTCATCTGCCCCGCCGAGACGGTTTTCAATCAGGTAAAGGGAGTGAAGGAGTCGGCGATATCGCAGCCCAAACTGCGAACCTTTGGAACCTAACTTTAGACTACGTGAGATACTATCAAAGTAACGTGTATAAAGGAAAAAGAATAAGATGAAATAAGTAAAAGTTCAAGAAAGAGCGATTGTTTGAAAGAAATTTTTTAAAGGCAGAATCATGCGACTCCATACTCGTTACTTTCGCAGTATTTTACGACTCCAAACTCCTTCCTTGTGCATGTTCAAGTTCTGATATATTCTGACAGTCGTTTCTGCGATTACCTTTTGAACGACAGCATTATTGCAAGACTATTTACTTATCATATTACAATCAATTAAAAATGATCACCATATTTATTGTTTAGATTTACGTAGTCTAAGCATAAAATCCAGTGGGTTAAGTCTGTCCATTCATTACCTTAAGTAGCCAATATTTGGACCTTTTTGATTCATTTTTGCCATGTTTCCGTCATTTTTTTTTACTTAAAAAATACTGTCTTATACCACTACTGTGGCATACAAGACAATCCGTTAGATTCTAAAAGTTTGCAGTTTGGGCCGATATCGCTGACTTTTTCACTCCCTTCTTTCCGACGCGCTCGCCATTCTCGCGGATTTTCATTCAACTTGTACAAAATTGTTCCTCTCGTCGCCTCATCGCCTACTTGGTAATCGCTTGACCAACTTCGGTACGCATAATTGCTTGACCGCCTTCGGAGAAAGAAAGGTCCAAGGGGGAAACGCCGCAAACGTTGAGAGAAATAGCTATTTATTTTCCGCTCGATCTGAAGCGTCAGTTCTTCTTAAGATGTCTCTCGGTCTCGTACGCAGGCGACATTCGTGTGCACCCGAACGGAGAGCTCGATACCGTGCGAAGAATCGGAAAAGTACTACGCGTTAAACGAAGAGATTGGGAAGGAAATAGAGGAGGAGGAGGAGGCGGACCAAGAACGAGGGAAGGAGAGCGTCACGAAAGCTCCCGCAGCCGAGGCCCAGAGTCCGCTGACGAAGAAGCCGCCGACGAGGAGCTCGAGACTGTTGAATCGGGAGAGATCGTTCCGGCACTACTGAAGCTTGCTGTACTCCTCGTCCTCAGGTCGTCCAGAAGAGATCGCTGCGCGAGGTGTCGCGATCGCGCGTCACGCGAGCCTCGGTCGCGGTCGAGATCGATCGGATCAGCTCATTTAGCGTGTTTATCCCGTACCCGCTGCTTCTCGTAGAGAAGACCGCTCATCGGCCCGCTCGCGTAGAACTGGAGCTTAAGCTACTGGTCAGGCGTGAAACGTCGCGAATGTCGCGACCCGAGACAGAAGTCGCGCACAGTGGCCGGTCGGTCGTGAGTAGTAGATTGTATAAATGTTCTTAACACGATTAAGCGCGAAATGATCGAACGACTCTATTCTGTAATTAACGTCGAATAAAATGAAGAATGTTACGCAAGAGCCGGGGTTGATTTCTATACGAAGCGCTGAGGCGACGACACGCGTCGTCGTCCTGTCGAGGAAAGGTTCTCCAAGAGACACAATCTTCGATCTTGCTGATGCGCTTTATCGCTCGATTAACAACGCAAGTACAGGTCAAGTATGCTTGCAATACTCCCAGCTAAAGGGAAGGCTAACACGAGTGTGTGCGTTTATACGAGTGTTTACACGAATGTCCCAAACCTAAGGTGCGCGAAACGTCGTGCTGCGATATGCAGCGGTGCAATCGCAAAGATACGCAAACACTACGAAAAGAAAGAGCTTACAAACTATAAAGCGAAGCAATGTACAAAATTGCGGTAAGACAGACGCCGCCGTATAACTGACAACACAGCGCGTTTATTCCGACTGATATGTATCGATTGATTGGTCTCTCTCTCTCTCTCTCTCTCTCTCTCTTTCTCTCTTTCACGCAAACTTAATCTAAAGCGACTAAAATAAAGACGCGCGTTGAACAAGACGACAGAGAGGGCTTCCGACTGAACGAAACCCCGCCGACGCCGACCTGTGCAACGCGCTTCCGTGAAGTAACGACGACTTAAACTTAAGAAACACACACGCACACGTAAAGCGGCTAGAGATAGATCCAAAATCATCGCCCGATTCGTCGATCGCCGATCGGCAACAAGAACAAGAAGAAACAAAAGAAAGGAAGAAATTCCCGCGAAATCGCACAAGTCGTCGCGACGCGTCGATAAAACATCATCCGCAACTCCATCGCGTTCCGTCGTTTTCTATTCGATATCTTTGGATAGCTAGCCATCATGTCTCGCGGACAGGCGGAGGCCCATCCAGCTTTTCGCGATGCCGATAAAATATTTAACGAAGCAACAATTAAACGAACACACATATCCACGCGACAACGCTCCGGCGGCTCCCGAGGGTCGTCTCGCCTTCCAACTGGAGCAAACGCCATCTTGAATATTAAATAAATGCACTCTAAAAAATCGGCACACTCTCTCTCTCTCTCTCTCTCTTCTCTAGATCATCGCGATCGGAATTGGAGAAGGAAAGCTATACATTTTAAGACGCATTTGGAACAGTCGTCCTCTCTCAACGAGATCGAGATATAAAACGTCTCGCATCCGTGTTATTGATAAAAAGACAAACGACGCACCTAATCTCCACCTGTGACGACGAAGCTCCATGCAAAGATCCCGATTGTACTCGCGACTATTTACAGTATACTCGATATAATTTCCTTACTTCTATTATTATAAATAGAAAAATACGCGCTTATGCGCATACAAGCCTAAGTACATCCTAACGCACAACACTCTAACAATGCACTCTAAAAACGCCGATAAATTTCTTGGCTCGCGTAAAGCGAAGAGAATGCATATATTAAATCTCACGACTCACGTCGAGTGTGTTGAATCATCCGCACCTCTCGACTCGATTTCAAGTAACTTTACACAAGCGGCGTCGTCAAGGTTCACCGCAACGGCTGAACGGATCGACTGCGTAGAAATACGCCGCTCGTCGCGCCGCGCGACGGGAACACGTCGCGGCACTTCTCGAAAACCCAGAGATATCCCTTCCAGCCTGTGTCGTCCTGTCGAGAGACAGGGATATTTCCGTCGCGCATGAGTACCCGTAAAAAAATAATTTCCCACTTCCGTCTCGTCTTACAAAGCGGCCTAATGTACACACCGCCGCAGCTACGCTTCGGAATCCGTCGTTAGATCCGCCTCGATCTCCTCGGGACTCCTCAGATCGATCGCCAAGCGCTTCCTCGCTGCGTTCCCGCCGGCCTCGGCCAGTTTTCCCTGGCTCCGCACGATCCTGGAGTAAATCTCGAAGGCGGTGGCGAGCGCGTGCGTCAGCTGCCTCGCGTGGTACTTGGACTCGCAGACGAAACCGTGACACTCGAACGGCGCGATTCTCCGTAAATTGTCCGTCTCCTGGACGACTATCATGGAGAAGACCCTGGTGTACACGAGGTCCTGCACCCCGTACGAGATGGTGTCGATCGGGTACTTCTTGGACGAGCCCGAGTCCTGCTTCCTCTTGTCCAACGGCAGCAAGGTGACTCCGCCCTGCGAGACCACCAGCTTGATGAGAGGAAGCATCGTGTTGGTCGGCAAGGCCTTCGCGGCCGAGACCATGTTATCGACCGGCTTCCTCGTGTGCTTGATGCCCCAGAGGCCTCTGGCATCGTGGGAGCCGAGGTACCTCACCTGCAAAGGGTCTCCGGCTAAAGTCTCCCTCCGACGCGAGACGCACCGCCCGAGGAGCGGGACTGCTACCGCTCCCGCGAGAGAGACCTTGAGATCGTAACGGCCGCGCGCCTAGGCTTCGCCTAGGAATCTCAGCAGCGTTCGAAATTCGAAGCGCCGAAGGCGCTGCGCATCACTCACTCTCGGTGCGCACGCGCGAGCAGTCTCTCAATTTCATTCACTCGCGACTCTCAAATTTCATCACGCCCCGCGTCCCCGCGCCCCCCCCTCCCACCTTCCCCCGCCCCTAGAAGCCGCGAGTTCTGCGTTTGAGTTCCGCACGGAGGAGCACGAAGGAAAATATCGCTCTCGCGCGCGTCTGTGCGTCTCTCTCTCTCTCTCTCTCTTTCTTTTCTTTTTCCTTTTTTTTTTCTCTCGACTTAATGCGCCGTCAATTAAGTCTCGAGCGTCTACGCGTTTACCGGAGCAGGTATAAAGCAAACAACGTCGGGAACTCTCTCCGAGCTGCGTCGAGGCCCTACGTGAGCGGACTATACCTGAAACATCTGCGGCAGGTCGGTGGAGCCCTCGTAGACGTTGCCGATGGACAATCGCGACAGCTTCCAAGCGAGATCCTTGTTCCCGTCGACGGCCGACAGCGCGCTCGTCTTCTTCTCCTGCTCCTTCATCTCCTCCTGAGACTGGTCCCTCTGTCGGAAATTCGTGTCTCTTGAGTCGATTAATCGCCGACGCGACCTCCCCCTCAGACTAATTATTCGGCTCAGAGAACGGTCGTCCCATCGCAATAAATTTAACTAGCGATCTGTCCAGGGAGAATTCCCAGCGGACAAGAAGAGAATTCCAAGAGCTCGCGCGTCCTCGAGCGAGAGTCAATAAACTCGACGAAACTGCAGTGATCATTAAACGACAGGATGAAGCCCGGCCGACGAGCGTTCTTCCGTTCGTCAACGACGTCGACGACTAATGGAAACGTCAGCTCTACGACGACGACGACGACGACGACGACGACGACGACCGTCTCTCTCTGTGAGGTCAAACGCGCTCTCCACGAGAGCCTAGGAGCTACTCACGGGAACGTTATCGAGCCGGCAGGGCCTCGTAGCTGGCCTAGGCTTGACTTTAAGATGGTACTCCACCACGTTCGGTATGTTCGGCGTGTTGGCCACGACTGAGCCGGCGGTTGACGCGCGTTCACGGCCGTCGCTTCCGGCCGTGATCGGAGGCGCTGGTATCGTTGATCCACCACCACCGCCAACGACTTCCGATGTCTAATGGCATTTTATCGAGAGCTGTTGACGTCAATCTGCTCTCGTATTTCCACAACGCGCATGATTAAGAGCGACAAAGTCCCAAGAGAGAACGCGCGCGAGAGAGTGGCGTCTCCGAGTACAACAATGCTGTTTGCGTCATAAACATCGCAGATGGACAAACATTGCGACTTGGACTAATTAGCAGCACGCTTGTCGCTACATTAATGTACCATTAGGAGCGTCGTCATTATCACGCCGACATCGAAAAATTGCGATCGCGAAGCTTTCCGCAAGATTGTACCGCGAAACTCTCTCTCTCTCTCTCTCTCTCTCTCTCTCTCTCTCTCTCGGAAAATCGTCGCGAGCTCAACCGATCTGTTCGATTCCGTCCGCTCGAGCTCTGAGATCGCAAACGTTCGCAAAGGGACTCGCGTTCGCAAAGATCCCTTCGCCCTACGGGCGAGTGAAAAGAGCCGACCGACCTTAGACGGAGAGCGAATCCGTCGCTCGTTGTCGCGAAGCGCCGCCCTGCCGTCGGCCTTCTCGCCGCCGCTAACGGTGTGCACTTTCCTCAGGACGTTGTCGGTCCTCCTCGTGAAACCAAAGTCCTCGTCCTCCATCGCGACGGCTTGACTCGGCCTGATGGTCGACGCGAAATCTGCCTCCGCTTTTCTTCCCCTCCCCCTCCCCCGCTTCTTACATCGAGCGGAAACGGCGGACTATCTGCAAAGCGACCGGAGAGACGTTCGATCAGAGAGAAGTTGTTGGACCTCGTCGCACGAGGCCGCCCCAAGTTTCCCTTAGGAAAAGTTACTTTAAGACGTTCAAGTTAACTTAAAGTTACTTATAGTTGACTATAAATTACTTACAGTTAACTACAGGTAATTTTAAGTTAATTTGAAAATTTAAGGTAATCTTTTCCCAAGGGTCTCGCGAGCGCAAAAGCGCAAAGCGGGCTAAACAGCGGGACGTGAGAGGAGACGTGATAAGACGCCCATGATTTCCAGTGCGAGGAAGTGCGCGTCCTCCTAGCCGCGTCTTTCCCGAGACGTGCGTGACACGCACGAATGACCCGCGCGTACCGATGAATGGCGTCCTCGAGCTCGCAACCGACGCGAGATCCGCCGTCTTGTCTCGTGTGTGTGTGTGTGTGTGTGTGTGTGCGCGTATGCCGCGTTGTTGTAACAATTATTATTTGGAGGTGCGTCCAGGCGCGAAATTAAAAGTGAACTCAACGTCCGAAGTTAAACCGGAAAACAGCTGTCGGGCGCAGCACGTGTTGCACCTTGCACCGGACTGGTTCCACACACCATTCTGCTTCTTCTTTTCTCCTTCTTCCGTCCACTCCGCCGCCACCGAGCCGTATATTTTGCGCTATTTACGGAACAATCGAGCGAGCGCGCGGGCTCCCCGGGTTATTCCGTTGACGTAGCGCAAACTCTCCGATCCGATAAAGAGAGCCGCGAATCGAGGACGCGAGTCCGAGTGTCGATAACGCTTCTAATTGTCAATGATGATAAGTTATCGCGCATCTTCACTCTCTCCCGCACGTTCCGCTCATTTTTAATCCCGGCAACTTCTCACCAATTACCCGCCGACTCGCACGTATTTTCTTCTTGTTTCTCTCTCTCTCTCTCTCTCTCTCTCTCTCTCTCTTCTTTGCTACCATTTATCGCGGATTTCACGCAAACACGCGCGCGCTTACGTTGCACATGCCGCGAGCGGAGGAGGTGAATCCGAAAGATACGCGACGCTCGGTCGTCGAGCGTGCTTCCACTTTCACTGCTCTCTGCAAACGCGCGACGGCAATGACGGCTTTTTGTTCGCGCACGCGGTGATTACATCTCGACAGCGGATGCGCGAGATACAATTGCGTGTTCATCGGCGATTTCAAACGTACCAGGGGGGCTTTTCAGCCCGCCGGAAATGAGTCAGGTGACCGATCGGGTCAGGTGAGGAAGGATTCATTAATGTATTCCGTCCGTTACAGGTGTGGCGCGCGCAGCTCCGTTGTTCGGCTTCGCGCTCACGAGGCGAGGGTTCGCGTGTGCGAGAATTAATGCCGCTTCGAGAGCGCGTGATCGAAACCGCGTGAGGAGAAATTTTGATCAGGTTCGCCAGATCATTGGATAAGGACCTAATAGAGTGAATGAACCGGTAATCCTAAGTAAGTCAGTCCTTATAATATCCTAACGACAAATGAGTGAGGAAGGCCTTTATAAGGTTATAATGATTGGGTCCACATTAGGACCTTGATTTTAATTATTAATTATCATACCTAGTGTATGATATAATATCAGTTCAGTTAATCAGGTCCTTGTCGGGATCTTATTCACTCCCACCTAATACGATTTGCATCATCAAGTTTTAACAAAACAATTTTTCGGTGTCATTTCCAAATATAAGGATGTTTGCATTGAAAAAAACACTTCAGATCACTCGAATATATTTGTAAAATGCTATAGAAACTATCCTTTCTTTAGCAGTCAATAAATAGTTGTAAAATGAACGTGACATGCAACCTTTCACTTTAACACTAATTTATGTCTTGCGATATTCATTTTATGTTTCTTCTCCGAAACATTTTACAAGTATGCTCAAGCGATTTAAAATATTATTCATGCAAATATCTTTTTATTCGGAAGTGACACGAAAGAATTTTCAGCGTGTCATTTCTTATTTCCAATGTCATCATCCAATATATAGTCGTAATATAGTCGTGGCGAGTAATCAGGAGGCATAATTAAAAAAGAAAAAAAACGTAATAAGGATTCCATAAGGTAACTCAATAAAGATCTGACTATGAATCTTACCAAGATCCTGATATCCACGCTGCGTTACATGACTTACTAGGACCCTAATAGCATTACCTTATTGGGACCCGATGTCCAAATGAGATTAACCTGATCAGAGGACCACGAAATAAATCTCTAGTCGGGACTCCGACTCGCGCGGAAAGTGAAGATTCGACGTCTCAAATAGCGCAAGCAGGGCAGCACAAATCGGCCAGACGAGCACAGGCGCGACGCAATTGTAAGAGAAACAAACGATCGTCGATCTGTGAGAGACGAAAAGAGAAATCCCTGGCTCTTCGCGTTCCTCGCGAGTGCGGGGATTTTCCACTCGAAAGTCAAGACGCGAGCGCGCGAGTCCGCGATGATAATTCACAGTCGCGGAATTCGCACCGCGAGATGCAAATCGAGCGCGCGCATCTCATAAACGTCGTCCGCTCGTCGTGGAAAATTTCGTCGCCTCGGTACGAGAAACGGAAACACCACACCTGGGCAACACGTCAAGGCGCGAAAACACGCGCGTTCTGCGTGAAAGCGAAACTCGCTCGCCGCCGGACACCGTGTACGTGACCGCGTCTGTACACCTGTCGTCTAGTTGTTACACCCGCGTACAATAACAGAACTGTTAACGCGAGCCGACTGTCCAACGGGTGTCGCGTAAAAACGGGTCTGCTCACGGTGGAGCTCCGAGGAGACGTTCGTTTGAAATCGGGCCCGTTCTTGCGCAACGACGAACGAACGCGTGCGGAAGCGCCGACAAATCCGCGAATATCTCGATAATCAATTAGCGCGGCTCCGCGCGGCTCGCGGACACGCGTAATACGACAGGCGAGAGGAAGAAGGGGAAGGGGAGGGGGAGAGCGAACGAGAGAGAGAGAGAGAGAGAGAGAGAGAGAGAGAGAGAGAGCTTCGGGATGCTCGATAACGGTAGCGTTAGCAGATGAAATAGAATCGCTGCTCGTTATTACGGTTTCCCGGATCCTCCGTTATATCTCCGTGGCGATATCTCGTGGAAAGCCAACTTTTTCTTACGTAATAAACGGAATTGCTGCGAAAACGTTGATAAACGGGCGTGCAAGCGCACGAGTTGCGCCGAAAATATACGTACGTTGCGCTCGTCGTCCACGAGCGCGACGCCGCAATATTCACGTTCGTTGTGAAAGATATCAGAGAGAGAGAGAGAGAGAGAGAGAGAGAGAGAGAAAGAGGAGGGGGGCGAAAAAGGTCGCAAACAGCAGCGAAATTTACGCGACGTCGTTGGACGGCGATTACATCGGACAACGCGAAATCAACCAGTTCCCCCTTTTCATTCCGCGGCGACGGAGGGCGACGCAAACCGGAAGCGCCGTTGGATGTCTGCGGCCGGAAACCATTATGGTCGTGTCACGAAGGAGTTCCAACGATGCGTGGCACGCATCCGTCCCCGCGGAATTCGAACGTTGCGCCGCGCCGGCGCGGCGGATCGAACTTTACGAGGGGGAGAGACTTAACGGTCTCGCGCGTGGCTCGCGCGATTGTAAATTCCTCGCGTTCCCGAAGCAAGCAGATATATCCCACTTTGTCTTCCCTTTTTGTCGTCGTCGCTGCTTCTTGCGCTGCTTGCACCGCGAGATTCGCATTCCGCCGGAAGAGCACGGAGCTCCGCGAAAAAGGTCGCACGCAAGCGCGGCGCAAGCGTGAGCAAGTCAGATAAGAGTTATCTCGCGGCCCGTCCGCGAGATCGCACCGTCGAGTGTCGACGACACTCCACGTCGTCGATACCAGGCTCAATGATCGATGACTCACTCAGGTGAGAGACGAGACGAGCTCGTTCACGAGCAAGGTCATCGATCAGATAGTCGCTTGGCGATCTTGGCGGGCTCCTCGATTTTTGCATGCTTCAGCGTTTTCACCCCGCGGCCGAGGACGCGACTCGCAAATCGGACGCGCGAATCTCGCGAGGTGTTTCAGACAAATTGTCAAGTCGCTCTCCGATAGCACGTGATAACGATTTCAGGCACGATAAACTTCACGGGCACGTTGCACACATTTACCTCTCTCTCTCTCTCTCTCTCTCTCGTTCTCTCGTTCTCTCGTCAGTTTTCCTCGCTTTCCGTTCCCGTCGTCTTTTCTGCCGGTGGGAGCACGGTGCTCGGCGAAGACGATTAAGGAGCGTCGCGGCGACTGCTTTCCTCGCGAGATCAAATATGTCGCATGCGACATGGTTATCTAGTAGTCGTTTTATCTCACGATTACACAGTCGGCAGTCTGCGTGATAACGACAACGACGACAACGACAATGACGACTCGTAAATGTCACAGATTTACGAGCGAGAAGTAGGCGTTCGAGACGAGCGGGAGCGCACGCACGCACGCACGCACGCACGCACGCACGCACGTTCGAGTAAAAGTCGCTACGCAATTATTCGTCGTAAAGTGACTTATCGCGCGGCGTATAAGCGCTCAGGGATGCGTGCGATTGCACAAGAAGCCGGGGAGACGCAGCGAAACTATCGGCCGGCAGAATTTACGATAGCCACGTCGAGCGAGGCGAGCGCGTCGATCGTTAATTCGAACAATAGCCGCATGCTAATTGCGATGATCGCGAGCCGCGAGCGCGGCGCTGTGCCGGATGGAAATCAGCTGGAAACAAACGCGCGAACACAAACACAACGGACACACGTTGTCTCTCTCTCTCTCTCTCTCTCTCTCTCTCTCTCTCTCTCTCTCTCTCCGGTCAGCGCGATCGCGCGGCGGAACGCCATTCGAACGAAGAAGGCGGACAATCGCTCGACCGGTTGGATCGATCGATCGATCAAAATCGGCGTTACGCCTGACGTTCGTGTAGGAAACGCGAAACTCGTGGAATCGCGAGGAACTCAAACTTCCCTGTGGTCTGTGTGTTGAGAATAGAAATCTCCTCCTGAAGCCACGCGTACATGGCGAATACGTTAAACTCGTCCTTCCGGTTCTCGACGTTCTAAACTGAGAAGATCCGAGAGCCATCGAAATTAGCGAGAGCCATCCGTTTGTCGTTCGCGACGAGTCGACGAACCTCGAGCCCGAATCTCGAGCGACGAAGCCACGAAGAGAAAGAGAAAGAAAAAACAGAAAAAACAGGAAACAGTCGCCGTCGGCTAATTAATTACCTCCGCTTCTCCACATTCGGCGGTCGGTTGGCGCGCGGCCGACCAACCGACCGCGGACGTGAGTCGCACACGTACGCATGCACGCAGGATCAGGTCGCACTGAGCGCGACGACACTTACGAATTCGGCGGGGCACACACGAGTACGACGCGACCAGGTGCGATCTCGGTGACGATCTTACCGTTCGACGCACCTGCGACAGACCTGCGATGGTGGTGACGACGACGACGACGACGGCGGCGACGGCGGCGGCTGAGAAAGCCCCCGCTTCCGGAAACATCGTCGCGTCGACTGCAGCAGCAACAGGAGGACTCCCGGCGACGGTGCAACCGCGTGCGACGAGGCACGGCGCGACTCTGCTGGTCTCGCCGCGCGGCGACGGCGAATCCGAGAGCGGAATATCTAGGATATATGCCGCGAGAAGAACGAACGAACGAACGAACGAACGAACGAACGGACCGGGCGGACGGACGGACGATTGACAGGCACCTGCGGTATGCGCTGTCGTGTAAGTGCGACTGAAAATGTGGGACAACAAGGCACGCAGCTCCGTTCGTTCGTTCGTTCGTTCGTTCGTTCGTTCGTTCGTTCGAGTCGTGCGAGCTGATAAAACGGAACGTAGCCGTGTTGCGTACGTGCGTACGTCAGCTTACAGACGCGAGCGGTGTGTGTCGCAGGTGGCACACCTGTAATAAACCTGACGGAGCGCAGCGCGAGCGATAAGGCGAGCGCGCGCGCGCGATTCATCGCAGAGATTCTCAGCGTGAGGATTTTTCCGCGGGGCGGATTCCCAGGACTTTGTTTCCAAGCGCTCCGCGCTGAGATTTTTCAGTTTGATCGTGGCCATTTATTGACCTCCTGACTCCGGATATGAACCAGCCTAACCCGTCGCCGTTATGGAAAAAGAAATCGAGAGAGAGAGAGAGAGAGAGAGAGACAAAACTTTCGGATCATCCTTCCGGCTGAACCGGAATGTTTACGCGAGACGGCGGAAAAGCAAATTGATAAAAAAGACTCTACCAATCTGAAAGTCGGATGAAGAGAGATGTTTTCTCTTCTTTCTTCGTTGTTTGTAGCGGGACCGTCGGCGTTCAGTCGAGCGCCCGGAGTCACGCCCAAACGTCAAAGAACAGGTTGCTCCAATTCCTTGGTAAGTTAACTTGGATAGTTAAATCATATGTCTGTCTTTGTCCAAATTGAAGGGAAAACAAAGACAAATATATGATTTAACAATCAGTTAACTTTCCGACTAGAAATTTATCCCATGGTCCTGATCAGGTTAACCTCATTTCGACATCAGGTCCCAATAAGGTAATACTATTAGGGTCCTAGTAAGTCATGTAACGCAGCGTGGATATCAGGATCTTGGTAAGGTTCATAGTCAGATCTTTATTGAGTTACCTTATGGGATCCTTATTGTGTCTTTTTTTTTCAAATTATGCCTCCTGATTACTCGCCACGGCTATATTGGATGATGACATTGGAAATAAGAAGCGACACGCTGAAAATTCTTTCGTGTCACTTCCGAATAAAAAGATATTTGCATGAGTAATATTTTAAATCGCTTGAGCATACTTGTAAAATGTTTCGGAGAAGAAACATAAAATGAATATCGCAAGACATAAATTAGTGTTAAAGAGAAAAATTGTCACGTTAATTTTACGACTATTTATTGACTGCCAAAGAAAAGGATAGTTTCTATAGCATTTTACAAATATGTTCAAGTGATCTGGAGTGTTTTTCTCAATACAAACATCTTTATATTTGGAAATGACACCGAAAAATTGTTTTGTTAAAACTTGATAACGCAAATCATATTAGGTACAATGAATAAGATCCCGACAAGTACCTGATCAACTGGACCATATTATTTATATCATACACTAGGTTGGTACATTAAGGTCATAATGTGGACTCAATCGTTATAACGTTATAAAGGTCTTCCTTACTCATTTGTCGTTAGGACATTATAAGGACTGACTTACTTAGGATTACCTCTCATTCACTCTATTAGGTCCTTATCAATGTTAGGCGAATCTGATCAAAATTTCTAGTCGAGTTAGAGCGAGAAGTTGGAGCAATCGGCCGAAAGAGTGCGAGTTGAAAAACGTAACTGCCTGCGAGTTGCGACGGCGCGGATATTTGCGTCTTTATCGTCGTCGTATCGCGGAATTCTCTCAGCGACAAACAAGACGTCGTCAACGACGACGCGATTCGCGCGACGCTCGGTCTTCATTGTGATTCGACGAGCACCGTGTTACTTACGTAAGATGAAGCACACAATAAAAATGTATGCGACAGAAACGTAACGTGACGCAACGGCGACTGGAAGGCTCTAATCGCGAAGGAGCAAAATTTAGTCGCACACAAAATATGACACTCTCCGACGAGTCTGCGCTTCTCATTTCTCCCTCTCTCTCTCTCTCTCTCCCTCTCTCTCTCTCTCTCTCTCTCTCTCTTCCTGCCCCTCTCTGTGTCTCGTTATCCCCCTCTCCCCACCCCCATCTCTCGCGGATGTCAATCACAATCGCGTTGCGTAATAAAATGTGACGTAATAAAATGTACGCGGGAGTTTGTAATTAAGCGCGAACGTTTACACGCGCCATTAATATGGAACGACGCATCTCGGTGCGAACAATGCGCGACTCCCGCGAGGCCATCTCGCTTCGATCGCTTAAAATATTAATAACGGAGTGTCGTAACGCGCCGTAGATTCATACGTGCCAATTTGTTGTATCATCGGGCTGGTATCGTCAGCGATCGCGTCCCTCCCCCCCGCGCACACGCGGAAGACCCCCGTCGACAAAATATTGCCGATCCGCGGATGAATTATTTGGCGCCCGGCGAGCGGTGAGAAACGTGAGAGTAACTTTCATGCCTCTTTGTCGTTGCATCCGACGACAGGAAAGAAAATGCTCGGAAGTCAAGTCGTTATGAAATTGCGGGGACTTGTACCGGGTGAGCAGCCCGACTAGAAATTTATCCCATGGTCCTGATCAGGTTAACCTCACTTGGACATCAGGTCCCAATAAGGTAATACTATCGGGTCCTAGTGAGTCATGTAACGCAGCGTGGATATCAGGACCTTAGTAAGGATTCATAGTCAGATCCTTATTAAGTTACCTTGTGAAATCCTTATTACGTTTTTTTTTTCAAATTATGGCTCCTGATTACTCGCCATATTGGACTATATTGGATGATGACACGCTGAAAATTCTTTCATGTCATTTCCAAATAAAAAGATATTTGCATGAAATAATATTTTAGATCGCTTGAGTATACTTGAGTAAAATGTTTCGGAAAAGAAACATAAAATGAATATCATAAGATCATAAAGTGTCACAAGGTGACAAAACATAAAGTAGTGTTAGAGAGAAAAGTTGCATGTCACTGTAATTTTACAACTATTTATTGACTGCTAAAAAAAAAGGAGTTAGTTTCTATAGCATTTTACAAATATATTCGAGTGACCTGAAGTATTTTTTCAATGCAAACATCCTTATATTTGGAAATGACACCGAAAAATTGTTTTGTTAAAACTTGATAGTGCAAATCATATTAGGTAGAGTGAATAAGATCCCGACAAGGACCTGATCAACTGAACTGATATATCGTATCATACTATTATATCATACACTAGGTTGGTACATTAAGGTCCTAATGTAGACCCAATCGTTATAACCTTATAAAGGTCTTCCTTACTCATTTGTCGTTAGGACATTATAAAGACTGACTTACTTAAGATTACCTTCCATTCACCCTATTAGGTCCTTATCAATGTTAGGTGAACCTGATCAAAATTTCTAGTCAGGAGCGACGACGCCGAGCCGTTGATCCGCCGGGACTTTGGCTCGCTCTTTATTTATGAACACTTCTTTATAAATTATTATCTTTCTCTCCTTCCCCTTCTCCAAGCGATGAAGCGCTCCTCCACCGACGACGAATGAATGAATAAACAAGTGGGAAATGGCAGCTCTTCCTAATCGCGAGGATCGCGATTCCAGCGCTTTTCCAGCGCTGCGAAACCGCTCGCGCTCGGCGAACCGCGCGCAAAAGTAATAAAACGGACCTTCCCACGGCATGCGAGTCGCACATTTTGCAATCACTCCGATATCTAATTAACGAGCAGACAGATAATTTAATTAAGAACAAGTGTGGCACTCGGCAGCCGCACGCAACGCGCGCGCCGCAATACGATCCGTGCGAAATCGGCCGTAGGAAGAGAAGTAGGGATGCTCCCTGCCGTTCTTGTTCCCTGCTGTTCTTGAAATGTGTGCGCCGCGTTTCGACGCCACGTTAATGATAATATAAAAAGACGCAGCGTAACGCGCACGCAATTGAGGAATTGCCCCACGCTCGGCTGCGCGTGAGAGCGGCGCGTTATTGAAAATCCGGCTGGATCTCGCGGAAGCTCGAGTTGCAGAATTCGCGAGAACTCAACATCCGAACCTAACGGCACTCGACGAAGGAAAGTGTGCGTCCCGCAGACGACGCGATTGCAAAACAGTCTCGTTCGCGAGCCGCGCGAAGAACGAACGTCGCTGAAATTTTTTGATATGACGGCCGAACATGCGTTTCGCCCGAGCAGGAAACAGAATCCCTGACTCGCCGAGAATCAGGCTGTCAGCAATTCCACTTTCATCAGCCGAAACGCTCGTCCGTTGTCGTGGCAATTTAACCGTTTTTTTTTTTTTCTGCCCGTTCTAGGGAAGAGAATTTTCCACATCGTGGCTGCGAAGAGACGATACCTCGCGGCGTGCGCGCTCAATCTTCTCGCATGAGTCACTCGGGGGGGCGACGCGTAATAACCGCCGGACGTTCAATTCCCCAGACTTTGTATGTCAATCTGGAAAAGCTCGCAGCCGGCAATTATGCAATCACTAATTGGCACGGACGCGTTTCGAAAATTGAGGGGTTCACGCGCACGCGGAACGGAACGGAAGACGCCGCGACGCGCAGCAGAATGCAAATGACGAATCGGGCGAGCGCGGGGGGAGGCGGACGCGGTCGGTCTTTAATTCCGCAATGTATCTCAAGGTTGCATCTCTCCGCTGATCACACCTAACCCGCGAAAGACACCTTCGCACAGGAAGCCCCAGAGCGCGCGCGAGGAACGTCGAAACGTCGAAGCGCGTGGCAAATGTCACCGCTGTCCCACGTGTGTGCGATCGACAAAAGAGCGGAACGGAAAGAAAACGCGAAACGAATTGTTCGTACGTTCGGAATCACGGTCGCTGCTTTGGAAATTCAACAATGTGCCGCCCGCCGCTCGCCCCTCCTCGCAGCCTTGCGCAAACGCGACAGACGCAGAGCCGCGTTGAAATCACGCGGCTCTGCGTCGCTCTATGGGAATCAAAGGACCGCATTAGTTGTCGGCTAATGTGGCAATCGCCGATTATTATTTTGGACATTACGGGGTGAAAGCAGCGCGAAAGGCCGAAGGGCGATCCGCGAGAAAATATTAAAATACGCGACCGTCTCGCGCCGGGTACCAGGTTCGCGAAATCAACTTGGACAAGAAAAGCTTTTCAGGAAAGAAAGAACTTTTATTTACTACAAACATATGTACGGACTCTCACTTGTTTACAGATTCTCTCGTTCGAATAATAATGAAGACTAGCGTGTTTGTGTCACGTCAGCTCGCGCCGACGGCTCGTGATTCTCTCCGCTGTCGTTGTTGTTGTTTCTCTTATCGATTTTCTGTCGTCCAGACAATCATCCTTCGGTTGTCAAAATCGCTAGCAGATGCCTGAAAAGACAACGGACGTTGTCACAAACTTTGTGGCCCGGACACGATAACACCGAGTCGAGTTGAGGGGGAGAGGGAATCCGGCGTACGACGCAGGAGCGGATTCCCCGTTTCTCGGATCCCGATCGCGACATCCGCGACTGGGCGCCTCTTGATGGACAACGCAACCTTGGATCCGTCCCGCGCGATAACGGCGAGTATCAATTCGGGGTCCGCCCTGCCGGCGAGCATTTCCGTTTCACGGCAAAATCACAAAATACGGCGCTATCTGATCGGCGGGATCGACTCGGCGAGATCTCAGGTTCCCTGCCGTCTCCCCGGCCCGCCGCCCCTTCAAGAACAGTAACAGTGCACAAAACAGTAATTAACGATAGGATCGCGCGAGCGAGCGAATGTTCGATCGTTTATGTAACAAACTGATACGTCAATCATGTCCTGGCGAAGCGCAGAAGCGAAGCTGAATCTACTGACGTTACGTTATCGAGAAGAAGAAGAAGAAGAAGAAGAAGAAGAAGAAGAAGAAGAAGAGGAAGAAGAAGAAGAAGAAGAAGAAGAAGAAGAAAAAGGAGAAGGAGAAAAATCGTGATTGCGAGGGAGAACACGCACGAGACACGTTGGCTGTTCTCTCTCGTTTGCACCGAATTCATTGTCTGCGACTCTATTGAAACGTGAAATTGTCATCGCGCTTTCTCACCCACTTTAGTCAGCGCTGCGTTAAAATGCAGATTCGATCGTAACGCGATTTTAATCCACACGCGAATCGTACTTCGTTGCGTAACCAAGCAGCGTTTTCTCTCTCTCTCTCTCTCTCTCTCTCTCTGTCCTTCTATCCATTCCCTGCAGCTGCAACTGCAGCCGGAATAACGAAAAAATTTCCCAAGGGAGAAAAAGGCGGTCTCAAAATGAAGACGGCGGAGGTCGCCCTCTGCGGGAGATATCGATATGTGTCGTTTTGTTTCCTTTTTACACGCGACACGGAAAAGCCGCGAAACGGAAACGGAAACCCAGCGGGTCGCTCCCACGCGGAAAAAGTCAGACGCGTGAAAGGGGGAAAGGGGGAAGAGAGCAGCGTGTCTCCCGATCGCGGCCGGACTTTCCTATCGTGCCGATGGAGAGAGACGGACAAACAGAGCGAGCAGACAGACCGAGAGAAGGCGCAAAGAGCCGGCGCAATGGTTCAAGTACGATGGTTACGAATATTTTCACGGGTGTTAGACCACGAGACGATTGCGTAAGAGAAGAATCTCTACGGCTGCCGCAGAGGAGAGGAGAACACATCCCACCTCCTCCGTCGCTCTGGGAGCGTCTTCTCTTTCTCCGTTCGTCCGATGTGGGAGCCCCTAGAAAGAGAGACTCTCAAGAGTCCCCCCTTTTTCCCTGGCCGATGTCTAAGGCCATATATATACCACCACCTCGTGGTGCGATCCTCCGAGAAAGAAACTTTGGGAGTAGCGTCGTCCTAGGACGAGAGAACCGAGAGGCGAATCTCGAGTCGAGAGTGTCAGGCAAGCCGTAAGTGCGCGGTGCGCGGCGAGGATAAAGGGGCGAGGAACACGAGAGGATAAATGATCACCACGCGGCACGATACTGCGGACTAAAGGCGACCAGAAAAGTTGTTCGAAAAAGGTAGGCAAAGGCAAGGTATAAGCTCGTCCTGCTGCGACGGAGAGTCTCGTCGCGTCTCACCTGAAACCTGTCGGTTTCCCCCGAAAGACGATCCTCTCCGCGACGACGACGGCGAGACGAGAGGACCGCGAGCCGAGATAATTCGCCGCCGCCGTGTAAAACAAAGAGTGACCGAAGAAGAAGGTGGACACGCACGTGTACTCCCCTGCGCGCTTGTTCGCTCGCCCCGTGCAGTCGCCGAGTGCTTTAAAGTTGTTGTTTGACTTTTTTTTTTAGATGATTTCGAGGTACCAGATACTCTGCGCAGTCTTGCTCTTCGGCACGGTTTTGTTCTATCAAGCGATGGCGGTGAGTCTCCGAACACATTTCTGTCGATCCCGATTCCGAGGGGACCCACCCGCGAATCGTCCTCTGGTGATTCGCAGGGCGACGTCCAGAAAGCACGACTTTTCTCTCTCTCTCTCTCTCTCTCTCTCTCTCTCTCTCTCTCTCTCTCTCTCTCTCTCTCTCTCTCTCGTTCGGCGATATTTCACAAATCGCCGGTAAAGACGTTCTCGCACAGGTGGGAAGTGTGTGTGTGCGGAGGTTTCGTAAATACTCCCGATTCTCGCGGGAGCGGCGGGTTAAAGCACAAAATTATTATTTTCATCGCAGCTTCTCACGGTGTATCGCGTAACAATAACAGCGAGTGAACCGTATCTGCACGCGTCATCTTTCGCCAGGTGGCAACATTAAGTAATTCATTAATTAACCGGTGTTACGCGAGCGTGCTTTCTCGTGCGTACGGAACGCTTCGTTAGGCGAAGTCACTTGGAAGCCCGTACAAGTGAAGCGCATCTCATGAATATACGTTCGGCGCGGCAAGATTTCGAACAAACGTCTCGATGTCATCGAAGAACAGCGAGAATCTAAAAGAAATCGAAACTCGATTGATTGACTGTCGACCCGAAAGATCTTGTGCTCTTTCTCTCTCTCTCTCTCTCTCTCTCTCGTTTCCCTCGAAAGTTCGCCGGTGGATATCGCGACTCGTATGAATCTCGATTCATTGCATATTACTAATTGCACGCGAATCGTTATTAATAAAGTCTTAATGACGAGAGAAACGACGCGCGTACACACATCCGGATTCGCTCGATCCGATCTCGCAATTACCAATTAGAAGACATATTTCGCAGGAAACGATGGCCGTGAAACCGATGAAAATCGGGATAGAGAATAATAAGCCGAGAAATAAGCCAGCCTCAATGCCGCGAGGCTACCAAACGGAAAGATAAGACAGTTAATTAATTTATGCAACATTCGCCTTATCCTGCGCTATCCACACGTCTAATGCATCTTTCACCACACCGTTCTCCTGCGAGAAAGAAACACACGTAATTTGCTTACTTCTCTCCCTACGAGCCAAATCTGATTACGTAACCGTATCCGTTTATCAGGAAACAGATATTGTCCGAGCGAGAGATCAATTTCTCCCCCATGAAAATGTGTGACATTATAAATTTCGCCACACGTTAAAGTCGAAGCAATAGAGCGTGCGAAATAAAAACAGGTTCGACTCGAAAACAGAAAAATATATATATAAATATTTCATACACTTTTTACTCTTCTTCTTTTTTTTATCAAACATATATTCCATATAATCTACTTGAATCATATTTCGCTTTTCATTTCGCTGGAGAACGTCGTGCTGGAAAATGAGTCGGAAAACAGAGACAGGAGACAGCGCGAACGTTGAGCAACAAATCAACGAGAACAGTCTTCTTTCGGTAGAAAAAAGAAATATATATTTGTTACGTTTTTTTTCTCTTTTTCTTTAATCAAACGCGTCTCGCAAGTTCTATCCTTTCGTCTCAATTTTAACGCGCGACTCGCTCCCCGAAGCTGAAAGCGCAACGCGACCGATGCCTTCTTGCCGAGCGTTGAAATCACCGGGTTAAATTCGGGAAGGGGAGCGCGCGGATCGCGCGCATCTGCATACGGCACGCACGCACGCACGCACGCACGCATACACACGCGCGAAATCGTAAACAAGAGATTGCACATACAAAGCCACGGAGATGCGCATCCGCTCGGGAGGAACAATGTAACTCGACTTCCGGTCAGACATTGGCACGTGCACGAACGGTCTCGAGCCGACGCGTCGTGTCGCAACCGCCTCTTTATTTCTTCTCGTTTTGACTGATAGCCAATTGCGAAAAAGATCCCGTATCGCGCCCACGTCTGATGCAGCGAGTCTCCCGAGGCGAAGGACAGCGCAGGATCGGCGCGTCGATTGTCTCACTGAGTAATTAGCGTTACCTAATATTAACGCGTTCAGAGCGCCGCTCGCGCCGGCCCGATGGCTTTCGATGGCGTTCCGTTCACGCTGCCATGCGAGTCGACGCATGATTGGACGAAATATTTCACACAAAACATTAAATTTCACAGCGAATATATTCAAAGAACCTTAAGGGGACTCTGGAGGGTCAGATTGCTGAAAAATCGTGCTTGGTTTTGATAATCTTTTGTGACGAACTGAATAAATGTGCAAGAATGAAAATTTTAGGTATACAACATATGAAGAGTAGAAAAATTTTGTTTATTAACAAATATACGATATATATAGCTGAAATATATTCTCCTTTTTTTTCTTCAAGTCATCGTTTTTGCAGTAATATCTCGGCTCTCGGTGGTCCGACCAGAGCGAATTTTAGCTGGAAATCTTGAGGAGGCTTATCATTATCCGATGAACCACTAGAAAAAAAAATCGAACAAAATTAACAAAATGGCAGCTGTTATTAGGAAAAAATTGAAATTTTTCAGTTCTTTTACAATAAAAAAATTAATATCTCGAAATGAAATATTTTGACGGAATTGTCCATGGTTCACCTGAGAGCCACATGATGACAAATATTATTGCTTTTAAAATTTCAAATCGATACGAAGCTCAGTTTCGGAGGAATCATTGCAAAAAGTTGAACGATAAAATTTCGAGAGAAACGCGTTTAAAATTTAAGTGGACGTATATTTATATGAGTATTTGTTTAAAATTAAATTTTTCTACTCTTCATATGTTATATAAATATATATATAAAATTTTCATTCTTGCACATTTATTGAGTTCGTCACAAAATCATTATCAAAAACAAGCACGATTTTTCAGTAATCTGACCCTCCAGTCTCCTTAAGGGAAAGTTCAACGACTCGCGCGCGGCAGGAAATGTGTCTCAGTCACCGGGAGAAAAATCGACACGTTCGATTGGATCGGGACATTCGTGCCGAGTTAAAGACGCGGTCGGAACGAATCGTCCCGAGATGAGCGATAAATAAACAGCGAGACCTGTCGGATGTTGCGTACGAAGCGAGCGAAGAAACAAAACTCATTCTTATCCCGCCGTGCGCGATAATTAAAATAAAATAATTGGAGAGAAAGAGCAACGAACATCGCGCGATTTATCCATGTAAGTTTCAATTCAGCGCGAATTAGCTCGGCGCGCCGAGCGGAGGAAATGCGATTTGCGGCGTGTATCCTCATTCGCGCCACATTCCATTGTCGAGATGATACGTGTCGAAACGTATTGTTATTGTTCCGACGGAACAATCACGGCGGCCGGCTGCGCGCCGGCTCACGCCACTCCGCCGGCGAGGTTTCACTGTTTTCTCTAATTGTCTCGATGCAACCATCGCGCATTTACAATGCTAATCGCGAATGCGTGCGTTACGGTGCAAGTTGCGATGGCATAACGACGAAAAGCAAAGACCCACACGTCGATATTAATTCGTAGAGTCCGGCGGAAATTCGCGAAATCCGCCGATCCTCGGTCGTCGGACAGCTGCTAGAAAAAGAGAGAGAGAGAGAGAGAGAGAGAGAGAGAGACGGGCGTAACGCGCGCGTAATCACTCTCTTACACGTTCCAGCAAGTGGATGGTTACACACCTGGCGTAGACTACCCGATCTACAACATGGTGCCGTTCGGTCTGCAGTTTACCTGCGGAGGGAAGCTACCTGGGTACTACGCCGACCCCGAGGCCAGATGTCAGGTGCGTCCATATGGCCACCGTGTTTCAATTCTCATTTCAATAATCGGAATTATTTAAATACGCTCGCGTGCAGTATCGGATTGCAAACTGATTTCTTCTCTCCTCTCTTGCCCCTTTTGCTCTTTCCTCTGTAATTTCTTGCCAATTTATCCCGTTCCATTCTACGCCGAAATAACGGGCTGATACTTCTTATATTGTCGGACGACTTGCAACAACTGCTTCGGAAATTGCCCCGCGAGACGTCACTCTCGAAGATTAGAGCGTCGGCCCCGTAAATCTATCGTTCTTATCCGCCATTTTCGAACGCCGACCGGCGAGGTTCTCGAGCGAGGACTCGGCAGAGAGTCCGTCGTGAGGCTCGATCATTTGTTTACATTCGTTATTTTATCAACGATTTTATCAATACTCCAGCCAGAAATGGAGATTAGAATCGACAAAGGTGACCATTAATAAGTAACATTTTGCGACACATGATACAGCAGTTCACGCGAAACCAGAGGAAAAGGGGGGAAATAAAGGGGGAAAGGATAACATGAAGTTACACTTGATAACAATATCAAGTTAGATAACGCGATGGCAAAACGGTAACACGCAAGAGTGACGATGACGGAGGAAACGGAGGAATGTCAGTGTCTGCTTGCAGGTGTGGCATTGGTGCTTGCCGAACGGACGCCAGTACAGCTTCCTCTGCCCGAATGGTACAGTCTTTAGTCAAACAACTCGCGTCTGCGACTGGTGGTTCAAGGTACGCAGGCACGCACGAAGCGCGCTGGAAGCGCGCGCGCGCGCGCGCGCGCGCGAGAAGACGAGCTCTGAGATCTCATGCCAAACGATTTTTCACCGATTGCAGGTCGACTGCAACGACTCACCGAGATTATACGGCAACAACGACGAGCTGTACAGAGACGTGAACGGCAACAAGATCTAACGGCCTCCGCCCACCCGCTCTCCCGAATTTTACTACTAGTTTCGAGTGTACATTAATAAACTCTTTTATACATCATCTCCTCGCGAGCGCTCCGAAGCACCGCGCGTCCTCGGCGAAGCGTCCTCGCAAAGCGAGCCTCGCGACCGCCGCAGCGCGGATTCCTAGCTTGCCGGTGCAGGAGAGTAACAAGGACCTCTGCCTTATCGCTGTCAAATAAAATAGAGTTTGCCAAAGGGATCAGGAATTTTCTGCGATCCTCTGTGCGCTCCGCATATGTTTTCGCGATATTAAACGACAATCAAAAATACCGAGCTCCTCTTTCTTTCGCGTTCGTTCGCGGTTTCGGGATTTTGCGTAAAATCCTCACGAGATATGGCGCGAGGAGCCCTCGCGTTTTAGAGAAAGTCGAGAACGTCCCGCGCGATCAAAGGACCGAGCGCGCGCGCGCGCGCGCGCGCCGAGATCGTCGCCGAGCGGCCGCCGAGCGAGAAGCGCCGCCGCGCCGGGAAGAGCTCGCGCTCGCGCGGCGACAAAAGCGTTGAAATCAAATTCATGCCGGACAATTTCTTGGCATGATCGGACAATAGAAAGTGAGAGCACGTCGTGACTGGCCAGCCGAACCCCTCCTTTCTCTCTCTCTCTCTCTCTCTCTCTCTCTCTCTCTCTCTCTTTCTCTCTCTCTCTCTCTCTCTCTCTCTCTCTCTCTCTCTCTCTCTCTCAGTCTTTCCTTTTCCCTCTCCCTTGCCCTCCCTCGTGAGCTTCGCCAGCTTCGACGTGCTACACTTTTCCAATCGCGCTTTGCATGCGCGTCTCGTTACGCGAAACAGCCGCGCGGTGCTCGTCTCCATCTTTCGCAATCGACCGCCTCACCGATCCGGGAAAATGTTTTTACGAGGCATTCCGCGCGATTCGTCAGGCAGGCATCGGCTTTTGGACCGGATTGTTTCCATCGCCGACGCGACTTTCGTCGCCGTCATTAACGACATGACGATTCGTCAGACTCGATTGCAAATTCTTCCGCGTGGAAGCGCATATTTATAGAAACCTCAAGGCTGACGAGGCGCGATCAAATACCGTTCCGCACAGCCTCAATCTCGATGATGTGGTAAAAGTGACGGGAAAATTGATCAGCCGCCGCCAGTTGGACGCTCATAATTACGACGCCGATTTTAACGCGTACGCGTCGCGTTTAAAAGCTCAAGGAACGACAAAATCGCCGAGCGAGCTCGCAAGCGCGACAGGGTGCATCGAGGGAGAGGAATCGAGCCGTAGAGTCGCACACGCGACCTAGAGAATAACCGAAAACATTTACGCTATTATTTCCGTCCCGCGAGAAGAGCCTTTTACCGGCGTAGACGAGACAGAAGGAATAATAAACGGCGACGTCGCGCGGGAAGATATTTTTCTCTGCGAGGAAAATTCAGACTCGTCTCCGTACTTGCCGCGTCGAAAATACCGCAGCGTTCTCACGTCGAAACCGGAACAAGTCAAATTGACTCGAAGCCGCCGCGCCGGGGGGAAAGAAAAACAGAGAGTGGAAGAGAGAAGGAGAGAAAAAGTCATTAAGGACGGCAACCTTTCGACGAGCGAATTACAAAAGGAATCGCAAGGGGAACCCGATTCCGCTCGACCTTCCGCGCGGCGGAAAGCCCACGAAGAGAGCCGGCCGCCACGAGGAGCGGCGCGGCGCGGCGCGGCGCGGCGCGGCGCCTGAATTCGAGCAAAAAGAGGAAAATGGAGAAAACGAGGAATGAGATAGGCCGTGGCCTTGGTGGCCGGTGATAGAGGAAGAAAGGACTCGTCGTCGCGTTCTCAAGAGGCCAAGAAAGCGAAGCCGGCGGACAAACCTGCGACGCACACAAGGCCAGGCGCGCTCGTCTCTTTGCAACGAGCAGGCTCTCCCATTCCGTCTCGCGAAATCATCCGAGTTTCCAGCTCTATCCCCGAGAGTGGAGAGAGTTCCGCTCGGATTTTCCAGCCCATTTTCCCGCGTGAACGCTGCTAACGAAATTCGCGAGATGTCTCGGACGCGACACCCGAGACCAGCGAGTGAGGAACCGAACCGCCCCTCGAGAAGCAATTAAACGCCGCGACGCACACGCTTGACGCTGGGCTAACGGGATAAATTATTGATCAGCCGATGCCTCTCGCGATCGTTACGCGGCGTTGCGCAACGGACGTAAGACGATTTTCCCGCGCGTGATGTAACGCGCGATAATTCCTCCAACCAGTTTGCAACGATTATCGCGCTCCCGCGGGAACCTTCGCGCGCGCACGCACCGATATATGACGAGCGGTGTATCGCCGTTTTCTTCAAATGTCACCAGAAGCCAACGAGAGAGAGAGAGAGAGAGAGAGAGAGAGAAGCGCGGAATTCAGGTATTCGCGCTTTAATGTCGCGCTTTAAGTATCTCTCCGCGACGCTCTGATCCGCTCGTTCCTTTGCTAATGAGAGAGAGAGAGGGGGGGGGAGAGAGAGAGAGAGAGAGAGAGAGAGAGAGAGAGAGAGAGAGATCCGTTTCACCCCTCGGCTCTCGGTCCACCCAGCGCGCGACCCTGAGGATAATTTATTGAAAACACGAGGATGTGCGACTGGAGGATCCGCGACGGGGGTTACGAAACACAGCGTCGTCGCGCTGGGAAAGAAGTCACACGGCGAGCCGAGATCGCTCGCCGTGTGACTGCGGGAGAAGCGGACTCGGAAACTCGCGTCGACGAGACGAGAAGCGGCGCGATTGTTGTCGCGCCCGGAAGCCTTCGTCTTTATACAGTTGTATAAAAAGTCGATGTAGATGAGTAGAAGCAGGCTTGGGAAAGTTACTTTTTAAAAGTAACTCGTTACCGTTACTCGTTACTGATCTTAAAAATAACGCGTTTCCGTTACTTGAAAGTAACGATATTTTATTCCGTTACTCTTTTTTGTTGTAAATCCAGGATTATGCGATAGGTGCTAAGACAAGATATAAATCGGACATAAGACGATTAGAAATATATATATATATATATATATTTAAATATTTTTATTATTTTATGTTATTAAGTGTTGTGTACTTAATGCAAAGTTTTTTAATTAGTGGATATGAATTTAATATTTGGACATTAGTGCCTGTTGAATTTAAAAATCTTTGCCATTCATCATAGGCAGATTTCTTATTTGATGTTTGCTATTTGAAATTAAAAAAGTCATCGTTATCATTGTGCTTATCAGACATCAAAAGATTTTCAATTGAAGGAATTGCTAATAAATCTTCTAAACGCGTTCGCTTATCTCCGGCTAACCAACTCAATTTGAATTTGGGCTGCAAACAGCTGGCAATTATCAATTCTTCTTTTTCGAATGTAGTACAAAACCTAAAGTTAAATCAATAAAATTAAATACGAACGTATTGATTTTTCTTTTTGATCAGATGAATGTTGTTTGATGAACATATGTATTAACCAAATTACACCAACTCACCTCTCTTTTGAACCTTTCTGTACAGCTACGGCCAATGGATGACAATATGTGAGTCCATCTTTATTGGTTCTCACTAAATCCAGCATAAAACGCACAGAAATTAAATACAATTAAGTTTAATTTTATAAAAATTAAAAAGTAACGATTAAAGCAACGGACGTTTTGTTACTCTCGTTACAGAAGAAATGTACCGCCGTTACTTTTTCGTCACTGACATAAAAAAGTAACGGCGTTACCCAATCAAAAAAGTAACGGCGTTACAAGTAACGCGTTACTTCCCAACGCCTGAGTAGAAGCGACTATAATTCAATAGAAATCTCCCAAAGGAATCTCTCTGCTCGAGCTTTCGTTGCTCGAGGCAACAATGCGTTCAGTTACGCTAACGGACTCTCGCGTCTCCCCATTTTCCGCAATCTCGCCCGTTTCTTACAGGATTTCACGCACCCTCCACGAGAAAGCCTCACCCCCGGGGTCATACGCTCGTCATCTGCGACTATTTGGGCTATACTCTTTGTCCAGGCATCATCGCTCGATACGTTCTACTTTCACTCGACTCCTCTGATTGATCTTTCACACGAATCCTGCGAGGTGTGCACGCGCTGGGCTCGGTCAGTGACAGATGACGACGACGAAGGGACGCCGGGCTTGGAATCCTCCTCAAGGCAGTCAACGACCTTTCGAGCTGCATTACCAGCGCATTGAGCTTCGCGACAATAAGTGTCGAATCGCTCGCGTTACGCGTTACAAATGTCATAAAAATCCAGCCGCTCAAAGTGATCCCATCGGCCTGGATATGAGGACCCATGCGGTCTCCTCCCTCTCTCTCTCTCTCTCTCTCTCTCTCTATCTCTCTATCTGTCGTACGCGCCAATCAGATGTGTATCTCTCGCTCGAGAGTCGAGCAGCAACGAGCTGCGGCGGCCGACGTAATGCCATAAATGAACAATCGGGATCATCTGCCGATCGCGACTGTAATCATAGGTTCGCTCGCTCGCTCGCTCGCTCGCGCTCGCGCGCGCTCGCATCGAGCCATCGGTAATTACATGTCGCAGCGGCTCGTTTGCGAGGGTAGACAATCAGAGACCGAATCGATGGCAGTCGGGCCGCAAGCAAATATCACGAGCGCGCGCGCGCGCGCGCGCGCGAGATTGCTGCGTGCAGGCAACGGCAACGGCAGCGGCAGCGGCAGCGACAGCAGCAATGACCTTACTCGTATCGACATCTCGAGCACTTTCCGCGCTCCGTGTGTGCGAGCGCGAGAGTGTCGAGTTCTGTCAGGTGGCGACGCAGGTGTCTCTCTGCTACATGCCGCGCCTGCTCGCGTGCCTTTCTCCTCTCGGCTTGGGGCCTCGGGTTCTCGGCGACGACGACGACGACGACGACGACGACGACGACGACGACGATGGCGACGATGGCGACGAAGAGGACGGAGGGCCTCAGCTGCCGACGCCAATGCGCGATCGGGCCCCGTGGAACGCCAATGCGCCGCTCGACTCCCTCCTCCGTCTTCGTCGTCGGTCGTAGAAAGCTTAAGCGGACCGATGGTGGTCGGAGCGCAACGCTCCTGCTCAAGTGGCTTTTCCACTTCCATCGCGCAGTCTTCTGGCCGGACCGGAGCCGCGATCTCGCCCCGCACCCACGAAAAACCGTATCTCGGTTCGCTCTGCGAACGCGAACGGTCGGGCCAGCGCATACGCCACGACAATCGCAAATCGCAAATCGAGAATCGCACTTCCGGCCGCGTTTACCGCCACGACGACGCGCTCTCTCGCAACACTCGGATTAGTACTCGGTGGATTTCGCTGTTTTCAAGTGCCAGTTGATGTGCGGACGGTGGTTACATGAGGGATTAGCGAAGAACTAGCGGAGCCGAGAGAGACAGGTTTGCTATGTTTTTTTTCTTTTTCTTTTGTTTTTCTCTCTTTTCGCGCGCGCGCGCGCGCGCGCGACGCTCTCTGCGGACTCACACCTGCGGTTTCACCTGATGTACGTGGATGCGTGGCGCGCGGAGGGACCAGGAGAGGAAGCGGGTTGTCGTGCGATTTGGCGGAATTCCCCCGAGCCGTCGGGGCCCGCCTCCGCGAGATTCGTCGGAGACTTTTACTCGGAATTCGCATGTGATATGTTGAATCGCGCACGCTCGCTCGTGCACGAGCGAGCGAGCGTTTTCATCCTTCGGTGAAACGCTCAATGCATACGTTTTATTAATCTCGAGCGTGCAATTGCAGAATGGCGCGGATCCATACGCGTTGCGCTATTTTTAGCGCGAGGAGAAAAGCGGCCGCCGACGCGAGATGCCGACGAATTTCATGAAATTCGCATTGCCTCACCGAGTCTAATCACAGTGTTTACCCCCGGCGAGGAGTCGTCAGTCGCCCGCTGCCCGCGGCTGCTATCAGAGAGTATCGTCGCGCTCTCCTGCGAGAATTCGCGCGCGTTCTCCGCGAGGAAACGTCGCGCTGCTTTTTCGACGAAAAAATCACCAACGGCGGCCGCGTCTCGTCCGCGTGTCTCTCCTCCTCGATCATCTCCGATCACCGGAATAACGCTGCGTGGTGAATCGCCGCGGAACCGCAGGCGACACGCGAGTGAAACTGATGGGCGCGGGGAACGGCGGGGGAAGGGGCCGGGGGGGGAGGGGGAAGGGGAGGTGCGCAAAAATAAGAACGCGAGCATTAAGAGCGCGAGCTGCTTGCAAAGAGCGCGATTAACAGCAGGACTTTCGCTGCCGGTCGCATCCTGCCGCGCGCCTTCCTGCTCGTCGCTTTTTCGTATCTCGATAACGATGATAACGAGAGCGAACTGGTAACGTTCGGATTCGCGACATTCGACTTTGCATTCGCGCGAGCGCGCTCGCGCGCGAACGTTCGCGCGTCAACGCGGCGTGGACGCGAAGTCGAAATTTCGGCACCGAGATTGCAGAGCGCCCCCGTGCTCCCCGTTTTCCCCCAGCTCTGCTCTTCTTTTTCTTCGCCTTGCGCAATTTTCCGATACGCGAGCCGCGTATCGTTCCAGCGAAGTCACGAATTTCTAATCCGCTCGTCGAGGGAATCGCGAGTAACGAGAAGAGAGTGCTGCCTTCGGTAAAGACGTACACACTCGGTCGTCGCGCACGTGTGACGCCATGCACATGCACGCACGCACGCACGCACACACGCACGCACGCACGCACGCACGCACGCACGCACGCACGCACACTTACCTGTATGCGGCGGCACGCACCGCACGCTCGCGCCACGAATCTTATTCCCGAACGAAAACTTTCGTCGCTCCGCGGCGGTAATTTATACGTTTTACCAGCAGGAAATCAATCAAACACACACACACACACACATGCGTCGCGAGGGGATTTTCGTCGGCAGACATCGCGACCGGATAATGAGCGAACGAGCGAACGAGCGAGTTGACCGGCTGACGCGGAGCGTCGCGCAATTTAATCGCGCGGATAAGCGTGCGTGCCGGTAATCGCGTAAAAAATCGCGCGATTTTAACGGTATCTCGACGGCTGACGACGGTAACGTGAATTCGCGAGAAGTACCCCCCGCCAGCGCGTCGATGACCAGTCGCTATCTCGCGAGAATTCCCGCCTAATGCGCGTAACGCGAGTCGATCGAGGCGCGAATTAAGCGCGGATACCTCGGCGATTTTTGCGCGGAGAGACATTCCACGCGCCGTAAATTCCGCGCTCCGAGAGCTGGCGCTCGCGATATCACTCGGACATTCTTATCGTGCTCCGGCTTTTATTCCGCTTCAATCGCGGATTAATCTAACGGTCGAGAATTCACCGACGTGCCGATCGCTTCGTCGATTAGGCGGAGTAAGTTTTCCGTAACCTCGACGGGGTACCTCAATCGGCCATTCTCTCTCTCTCTCTCTCTCTCTCTCTCTCGCTCTTTCTATCTCCTACCTCTCTCCCTCTCTCTTTCCTTCGCCCGTGTAATTCATCGCCCAACTCCGTTCAGCTCCGCGTTCTCTGAACGCGTCCACGTTCACTTTCAATCGGCGGATTCCGCGACGGCGATTGTATACACGTTCGAAAGTGAATTTAATTTGCGGAGGAGCGCGTTAGACGCGACACGCCTTTTGCCGAGCTCTTCTCAATACGCGAGAGCCACCCTTTCCCTTCTCGGTTCCCCACCGGCCACTTCTCGCGGTGGCCGTCGCTCCGTCGTCGTCGTCGGCTTTAAAGCGTCGCGACACACATTTTCACCGCAACGCTGCCGCGCTCGAAGCGCGCTCTGCTCCAGCCGACGAATGCGGACCGTTTGGAAATGTCGTCGCATTTCCGCCGCGGCGACGCGATCGTCGCCATCGTCGATCCATCGCCGATCCCTCGCCGATCGCTCGCTGCCGCTGCGACCGCCACGGCGAGCAGAGGCTGTCCACATGTCCCCGAGATCAGCAGCGCGCGCGCTGCTCTCGCAATACGCGCGAGAGAATTTTAGCCGCGCGCGAAACACGTTACGCCGTTACGTAATTAAAAAAGTTTCGTAACCACCGCGGCCCATTTTCTTACCTCGCCGATATCGACGGAGTGTTGCTGCTGCTGCTGCTGCTGCTGCTGCTGCTGCTGCTGTTGCTACAGCAACGCAGCACGTGCCCGCCCCGATGTGCTCTTTGCGGGATCTTTTTCATAAACAATATTACACCGCGCGCCGCCTTACGACATAACCCACGCTCGTCGCTCGCTCGCTCGCTCGCTCGCTCGCTCGCTCGCTCGCGCTCGCGCGAGCGGTCGGCTTTCTCCCGATACGCCGGTGGAAAAATAAACGACCGACTTGGTCATAATCGAGCGGCCGGATCCGCGATTCGCGATCGAAACTGTGCTCCTGATCGATCGATCGGAGGGAGAGGAAGCGCGCGCGTTGCGCGTTGTGGAAAAACGCGTGGAAAACGCGAGCCGGCAGTAAAATGTCTTGCCGCAATTATAATCGCCGCGGTAATCGCCCGGGTAATTCCTCTCAATTGCAAATAATTGCAAGGGGAGAGGCGAGGATAGTAAATAAAATGTTGATCGCCTACGACGGCACCGGCTCTGGCTGCCGAGCGCGCACTCTCCTCTCCCGGTTCTTCCCGCTTTTTTACTTTATTATCCCGCGCATACCGCCGCCCGTCGCGAGTAGTCGCGCGATCTCGCCGGGTAATCGCATTCGGCGAGAATTAATAAGCGATCGAGAGGACGTCCCGGGCGCGAAGGTGCGCCAGGTCGAGGAACTTTTACACGCGCATACCGCCGCGCGACCAGCCGCGGCGAATAATGCGAGAAGTAACGGTACGCGCGCGCGCGCGCGCGCGCATGCGCGATGAATCACCGTTAATCGTTATCAAGTCGCCAGGGGGGGATTTTCAGTGGAAATTATCGCGTCGTATCGCGCGAGCAGGCGAGACGAGGCTCGCGTGGACGGACGTGATAAGCGGCCGGCGATGATTATTATTGTTGCGATTTGTCATATTTCTTTCTCTTTTCTTTTTTTTTGCCAACAACTGTCGGCCGTTCATGCTTCAGACAGTTTCGCGAAGTCGGCCGTCGCTCGATGACGACGAGTCTCTATGCCGCGTCGGTAGAGACCAGACTCCACGTGTGAGAAGGTTAGAGATGGATTTCGTCAAAAAGAAGCATCGTCTTCGATTTAATCGGTTAAATATCGAAAAAATCGTTCTTGCGTAACCGATATTTTCTTAAAAATATCGATAATAATCGACGTTTTCCTGGTTAATTTCAAATTAATGCGAAGAGTTATATGTTGCAACAAAAAAATTAATATATTATTAAAACCTTAAAGACCCTCTTACAATGGCTGCAAGGATAAGCTTATATATAAGAATAAGGCTATAAGCGTAAGCTACAAGAAATAAACCAATTAAAGTCGGTTGTTCTTCTTCCACTAGTCGACTGTTGTTGGCTTATTTTTTACCGTTTACTGTTACAGCTTCATTTTTGCAGCTATTGTAGACGGGCCTTAATATCGGCCCCAAAAATATCGGTCTGACAGTCGATTTTTCAGAAGAAAATAAGAATCGACGCTTGTTGTCATCGATCGATATTCGCCCATCATTAGAAAAGGCCCATACTTTCGCATGCGTTTCGCCCGAGGATGAAACGAAATTTGACGAACGGCGCTTTCGTAGTAAGATAAGCCGGCCGAATGTGCGCCGACGACGAAAAGTGTGTCACACCTCGTTTGCACGACGCGTGTCTGCCGTTGCGAGAGCCGTCTACTTTCGATGAGGCCGGCCCATTCGTTTCGCGCAATCGAAATCCTGTGACGGCAATGAAATCATTTCTGTCGTTCCACGCGACTGAGACGCGCGAGCTCGACTGTCGTTGCCGCCGCGACGTTCAGAGGCTCGCGTCAGATTAGACGTTGGGAGAATCCGAAGCGAGAAGATTAAACCGGCCTGACCGGTTGGGGCGAAACGCTCGTCAACGATGGAAATTGATGGATTCGCCGAATTCGCGCAATCGCCGTCGCCTGCGGTGTCTAGCTTGACACAGGTGACTGAACGCGTCTCGGCGCCTCGTTTTATCACGTCCGTCGTGAGAATGTTTGCCGAACGTTTCACGTGATAATTGTCGGATAAGTATGACAAAGACAGATGGACACTTTGATTTGACCGTCGTAGGTTGACTTGTTACAGCACACGTAACAGCAGATGCGATAAAAAAGTCACCGCAGCGATTCGGGACGGGAGTTTAGCCGAAAGCCGGGAAAGGCGAGAGAGAGAGAGAGAGAGAGAGGAAGAGAGAGAGAGAGAGAGAGGGAGAGAGAGAGAGAGAGGGAGAGAGGGGGAGAGAGAGAGAGAGAGAGAGAGAGAGAGAGAGAGAGAGAGAGAAGAGCTGTAAACAAACGAAGATGAGAGATAAGAGTCCGCGTCCCGAAG